CAAATATTTTGTTATTCTTTAAAAAGAGAAACGGGGTTGGCAGATAGGATTTAGTTTCTCCCTGTCTATGGCTCACACTCCAGTACGGTAGGTGGCGGTAATCCACCATAACGTTGGACGCCAACCGCCGATAAACCCCCACTCTGGTCCTCTGTAGCTCAGCTGGTAGAGCACGGCGCTTGTAACGCCAAGGTAGTGGGTTCAATCCCCGGGACCACCCATACACACAAAAAAAAAATGTATGCACACATGACTGTAAGTCGCTTTGGATAAAAGCGTCTGCTAAATGGCATATTATTATTATTATTATAAGAAGAAGAAGAAGACGATCGTGATTGGGTAGGATGGGGGAATGGCGAGTCTTGATTGGACAGCTGTCTCTCGTGACCTCCGAGCCCCGCCCAGCTGCATTGAGAGAGATGGCAGCGATAGAAGTGGGTGAGTGAAGAGTCTGGCAGAATAATATGTTGTTTTCTTTAAACTATCGCAGTTTTAGCGCTATAAACACACGTTTAAAACACTATTTCAGAAGAGAATGAATAGGCAGCGTTTATTGACTATTTGCAAATGGTTCTCTGTTTCACAGTTGTAGTTTTGTGGCTAGCTAGAGAGTTGGCTAGCTAGCTAGCTTGCCCATTCATAGACGGTAACTACGGCTTTATCCCCTGCCTATTGATGTTACCGGGAACGTTACCGGGGCCTTCTTGTTAGCAGCCCCGACGCGCGGTCTGAACGTTAACACGCGGTACGGTTTGGAAACATAAGAGACGTATCTTTCATATCAGCGAGAAATGATCCTTTTCAAATAACAAAAGGTTAAATTACTACACACCTTTTTTATAGGGTTAGTTCTCCCACATGTTACTGGTCTTGTTTACGGAAGGCAGACGGAAGGCAGAGTTGACCACAGTGCTAATTATCAAGCTAACTATCTAGTGTGCTCCGAACATCTATGTAAAGCTAACTGGGGATGAAGTGTAGTTCCTCGGCTGGATGCCCACAGCCTTACGTGTCTTTTTTTATTTGAAATATTATTTATTGTTGATATGAAAGGTAAGGGCCATACTGAAAAATACTAAAGGTGCTGATCCGGGAGGAACATGTAGAACGGCCCAGTAGAGAGCTATATGTGCCAGTGGATAAGGTTCAGCCACCACAGGTCTGTCCGACAAGAACAAATCAGAGGTTTATTGCAGATATTGGGTTCAAAACATCACACACTAATGTAACGATGGCTCACATAGGAAAGTGAGTGTAAAAGTGGTTCTATGGATTAAAAAAATAGAAAGGAACTAGAAAAGTACATTTCCTGAAGAAAATGTGGTGTGCTTGCTAGCTTGTTTTAAAGTATTTATGGTTGTGAAATAAGTTATAGCAGTGATAGCATCTGCAGTAGTAATGGTAGTGACTGGTTATAGTTATAGTAATGGTAGTGACTGGTTATAGTTGAAACAGTAGGTAGATGAAAATATGTATTCATAGGATAGGATAGGATAATATGGGAAAGTTGGTTTGGTGTCTCTAGCGTGAACGGTTCAAGAGTTAATGTTGGTGTCGTTTAAAAAAAAAAGTATAAATGGTATCAATATTCTGAATACAAGCCGTCTAAGTTGGCTGAACATGTCAACATTAGTTTGGCGTTGATAGACATCTCAACGTTAGTTTGGCGTTGATAAATATTGTCATTTAGAGCATTTACTTCCAGAAAATGACAACTGGTCAAAATAACAAAAAAGATGCAGTGTTGTCAGACCTCGAATAATGCAAAGAAAATAAGTTCATGTTCATTTTTAAACAACACAATAGTAATGTTTTAATTTAGGAAGAGTTCAGAAATCAATATTTGGTGGAATAACCCTGATTTTCAATCACAGCTTTCATGCGTCTTGGCATGCTCTCCACCAGTCTTTCACATTGATGTTGGGTGACTTTATGCCACTCCTGGTGCAAAAATTCAAGCAGCTCGGCTTTGTTTGATGGCTTGTGACCATCCATCTTCCTCTTGAGCACATTCCAGAAGTTTTCAATGTGGTTCAGGTCTGGAGATTGGGCTGGCCATGACAGGGTCTTGATCTGGTGGTCCTCCATCCACACCTTGATTGACCTGGCTGTGTGGCATGGCGCATTGTCCTGCTGGAAAAACCAATCCTCAGAGTTGGGGAACAATGTCAGAGCAAAAGGAAGCAAGTTTTCTTCCAGGACAACCTTGTACGTGGCTTGATTCATGCGTCCTTCACAAAGACAAATCTGCCCGATTCCAGCCTTGCTGAAGCACCCCCAGATCATCACTGATCCTCCACCAAATTTCACAGTGGGTGCGAGACGCTGTGGCTTGTAGGCCTCTTCAGGTCTCCGTCTAACCATTAGACGACCAGGTGTTGGGCAAAGCTGCAAATTGGACTCATCAGAGAAGATGACCTTACTCCAGTCCTCTACTGTCCAATCCTTATGGTCTTTTGCAAACCTCAGCCTGGCTCTTCTTTGCTTCTCATTGATGAAGGGCTTTTTTCTAGCTTTGCACGACTTCAGCCCTGCCCCTAGGAGCCTGTTTCGAACCGTCCTCGCCGTGCACTTCACCCCAGCTGCCGTTTGCCATTCTTTTTGTAGGTCACTTGATGTCATCCTACGGTTGTTGAGTGACATTCGAATGAGTTGGCGGTCATCCCGGTCAGTAGAGAGTCGTTTTCGCCCTCTGCCGGTCTGTAGCTTTGTTGTCCCCAATGTCTGCTGCTTGACCTTGTTCTTATGAACCGCCGTCTTTGAAATGTAAGGATGGAAGCAACCTGATGCTCACTGTATCCCTCTGCCAGTAAAGCCAGAATTGAACACCTTCTTTTCCTCAATCAAAACGTTCCTTTTCAACTCTTTTGGCATGGTCAATAGTTATTTTTTGATTAATATTACTTTTGAGGTACTATTAGCACTGTTTTTGCCATCCAGCTGGTCCTATTGCAAGAGGATAGTGATGACCACAGCAGTGGTTTTTATACTTTTCCTCATTAAATAAGATTTGGTTCAGGTGATCACCTAATCAGTACCTAATTCAGTAGAATGAGGTGTGCCTGTGTTGGATTCAACAGACACTGGAATGGAATGGCTGTCATACATGTAGAGATGCTGATTTAAGAAACATTTGCAGTGGTCTCTTCATTTCCTCCACAGCTGTAATAGGCTAGCAGTATTACTGGGCTATATCAGCCAATAGGCTAGCAGTATTACTGGGCTATATCAGCCAATAGGCTAGCAGTATTACTGGGCTATATCAGCCAATAGGCTAGCAGTATTACTGGGCTATATCAGCCAATAGGCTAGCAGTATTACTGGGCTATATCAGCCAATAGGCTAGCAGTATTACTGGGCTATATCAGCCAATAGGCTAGCAGTATTACTGGGCTATATCAGCCAATAGGCTAGCAGTATTACTGGGCTATATCAGCCAATAGGCTAGCAGTATTACTGGGCTATATCAGCCAATAGGCTAGCAGTATTACTGGGCTATATCAGCCAATAGGCCAGACGTAGTTTGAAGAGACTTGCACTTTTTATAGCCTACTTTTTAGGAGTGGGAAGATTTTCAGATGGAGACCAATATGGGGGATAAATATTATTTCTAGGCAATGTAGTAAACTATAGTATAGTCATATTTAGGAAGTACATTTATTTTAGGAGGACGATTAGCATATAGGATACAGGCCAAAGAGTTCAATCTTTGTTTCATCAGACCAGAGAATCTTGTTTCTCATGGTCTGAGAGTCCTTTAGGTGCCTTTTGGCAAACTCCAAGCGGGCTGTCATGTGCCTTTTACTGAGGAGTGGCTTCTGTCTTATTCATTACGAGATGTAGTTGGGGTTTAGGGTTTAGTGAATGATTTGACCCAAATACAATGCTTTTAGTTTTGGAAATATTCAGGACTAACTTATTCCCTGCCACCCATTCTGAAACTAACTGCACAGGCTGTGGATCACTCTGTGATTCCCTAGTAGTCTAATGTAATGTGTGTTGCAGAGCGTCACCGAGGGCGTCTGGCGTCCCTGGCCATAGCAGTGGTGGTGATCGCTGTGGGAGTCCCTAGTAGTCTAATGTAATGTGTGTTGCAGAGCGTCACCGAGGGCGTCTGGCGTCCCTGGCCATAGCAGTGGGTGGTGATCGCTGTGGGAGTCCCTAGTAGTCTAATGGAATGTGTGTTGGCAGAGCGTCACCGAGGGGCGTCTGGCGTCCCTGGCCATAGCAGTGGTGGTGATCGCTGTGGGAGTCCCTAGTAGTCTAATGTAATGTGTGTTGCAGAGCGTCACCGAGGGCGTCTGGCGTCCCTGGCCATAGCAGTGGTGGTGATCGCTGTGGGAGTCCCTAGTAGTCTAATGGAATGTGTGTTGCAGAGCGTCACCGAGGGCGTCTGGCGTCCCTGGCCATAGCAGTGGTGGTGATCGCTGTGGGAGTCCCTAGTAGTCTAATGTAATGTGTGTTGCAGAGCGTCACCGAGGGCGTCTGGCGTCCCTGGCCATAGCAGTGGTGGTGATCGCTGTGGGAGTTCCTATAGTCTAATGTCATGTGTGTTGCAGAGCGTCAACCGAGGGGCGTCTGGCGTCCCTGGCCATAGCAGTGGTGGTGATCGCTGTGGGAGTCCCTAGTAGTCTAATGTCATGTGTGTTGCAGAGCGTCACCGAGGCGTCTGGCGTCCCTGGCCATAGCAAGTGTGGTGACGCTGTGGGAGTCCTAGTAGTCTAATGGAATGTGTGTTGCAGAGCGTCACCGAGGGCGTCTGGCGTCCCTGGCCATAGCAGTGGTGGTGATCGCTGTGGGAGTTCCTAGTAGTCTAATGTCATGTGTGTTTGCAGAGCGTCACCGAGGGCTCTGGCGTCCCTGGCCATAGCAGTGGTGGTGATCGCTGTGGGAGTCCCTAGTAGTCTAATGTCATGTGTGTTGCAGAGCGTCACCGAGGGCGTCTTGGCGTCCCTGGCCATAGCAGTGGTGGTGATCGCTGTGGAGTTCCTAGTAGTCTAATGGCATGTTGTGTTGCAGAGCGCAACCGAGGGCGTCTGGCGTCCCTGGCCATAGCATGGGTGGTGATCGCTGTGGGAGTCCCTAGTAGTCTAATGAATGTGTGTTGCAGAGCGTCACCGAGGGCGTCTGGCGTCCCTGGCCATAGCAGTGGTGGTGATCGCTGTGGGAGTCCCTAGTAGTCTAATGTCATGTGTGTTGCAGAGCGTCACCGAGGGCGTCTGGCGTCCCTGGCCATAGCAGTGGTGGTGATCGCTGTGGGAGTCCCTATAGTCTAATGTCATGTGGTGTTGCAGAGCGTCACCGAGGGCGTTCTGGCGTCCCTGGCCATAGCAGTGGTGGTGATCGCTTGTGGGGAGTCCCTAGTAGTCTAATGTCATGTGTGTTGCAGAGCGTCACCGAGGGCGTCTGGCGTCCCTGGCATAGGCAGTGGTGGTGATCGCTGTGGGAGTCCCTAGTAGTCTAATGTCATGTGTGTTGCAGAGCGTCACCGAGGGCGTCTGGCGTCCCTGGCCATAGCAGTGGTGGTGATCGCTGTGGGAGTCCCTAGTAGTCTAATGTCATGTGTGTTGCAGAGCGTCACCGAGGGCGTCTGGCGTCCCTGGCCATAGCAGTGGTGGTGATCGCTGTGGGAGTTCCCTAGTAGTCTAATGTCATGTGTGGTTGCAGAGCGTCACCGAGGGCGTCTGGCGTCCCTGGCCATAGCGTGGTGGTGATCGCTGTGGGAGTCCCTAGTAGTCTAATGTCATGTGTTTGCAGAGCGTCACCGAGGCGTCTGGCGTCCCTGGCCATAGCAGTGGTGGTGATCGCTGTGGGAGTCCCTAGTAGTCTAATGTCATGTGTGTTGCAGAGCGTCACCGAGGGCGTCTGGCGTCCCTGGCCATAGCAGTGGTGGTGATCGCTGTGGGAGTCCCTAGTAGTCTAATGTCATGTGTGTTGGCAGAGCGTCACCGAGGGCGTCTGGCGTCCTGGCCATAGCAGTTGGTGGTGATCGCTGTGGGAGTCCCTAGTAGTCTAATGTCATGTGTGTTGGCAGAGCGTCACCGAGGGCGTCTGGCGTCCCTGGCCATAGCAGTGGTGGTGATCGCTGTGGGAGTCCCTAGTAGTCTAATGTCATGTGTGTTGCAGAGCGTCACCGAGGGCGTCTGGCGTCCCTGGCCATAGCAGTGGTGGTGATCGCTGTGGGAGTCCCTAGTAGTCTAATGTCATGTGTGTTGCAGAGCGTCACCGAGGGCGTCTGGCGTCCCATGGCCATAGCAGTGTGGTGATCGCTGTGGAAGTCCCTAGTAGTCTCAAGTCATGGTGTGTTGCAGAGCGTCACCGAGGGGTCTGGCGTCCCGGCCATAGCGTGGTGGTGATCGCTGTGGGGCGTCCCTAGTAGTCTAATGGAATGTGTGTTGCAGGCGTCACCGAGGGCGTCTGGCGTCCCTGGCCATAGCAGTGGTGGTGATCGCTGTGGGAGTCCTAGTAGTCTAATGAAGTGTGCTGTGGGGGTCTGTGTCAGTGTGTGCATTTGGGGGGGCACTGGGGGGTCGGGGGGGGGGGCCCCGTTTGGGGGGGGCCCCCAAAAATTTAAACCCGTTGGGTTTTTTTTCCCCCCCCGGGGGCCCCGGGGGGGGGGGTGGGGGGGGCCCCAAAAAAAAAAATTTTTCCAAAGGGGCCCGGGGGGGGGGCCCCCTGGGAAGGGGGGTTGGGACCCAAGGGAATTATTGGGGTTTAAAAAGGGGGGGGGGCCCCCAAAAAGGGTTGGGGGCCCCCCGGGGGGCCCAAAAAAAAAGGGGGTTTTTTGGGGGGGGGTTTCCCCCCCCCAAAAGGGGGTTTTTTTTTGGGGGGGCCCCCCCCCCGGGGGCGGGTTTTTGGAAAGGAAAAGGGGGTTTTGGGGGGAGAAAAATTTTAAATTTGGGAATTGGGAAACTTTTTTGGGGGGAAAGGGGCCGGGGGCCCCCCCCCCCAAAAAAAAAAGGGCTTTTTGGGGGGCCCCCCATTTGTGTTGCAAAACCCCCCCCCCGGGGGGGGGGGGCCCAAAAATGGGGGGGTTTTTTGGGGGGGGGGTTTGGGGCCCGGGGGGGTTGGCCCCCGGGGGGGGGGGGCCCCCCCCCCTTTTTTTTGGGGTTTTTAAAACCCCCCCCCCCCTTTTTTTTTTTTGGGGGGGGTTTTTTTTGGGGGAAAAAAGGGGGGGGGCCCCCCGGGGGGGGTTTTTTTGGGGGGGGGGAAAAATGGGTTCCCCCCCGGCCCCCGGGGGGGTTGGGGGGCCCGGGGCCCAAAAAAAAAAACCCCCAAAGGGGGGCCCCTCCCCCATTTGGGGGGGGGGTTTTTTGGGGGGGCCCCCTTTTTTTTTTGGGGTTTTTGAAAAGGGGGGGGGGCCCGGGGGGGGGGGGGGTTTTTTGGTTTTAAAAAAGGGGTTTTTTGGGGTTTTTTAAAAAAATTTTGGGGCCCTTTTTTAGGGGGGGGAAGGGGGGGGGCCCCCCCTTTTAAATTTTTTGGGGGAAAAAAAAAAAAGGGGGAACCCCCCGGGGGGGGTTCCCCCGGGGTTTTTTGGGGCCCCCTTTTTTTTTTTGGGCCCCCCAAAAAAAACCCCCCGGGGGGGGGGGATCCCCTTTTTTTTTTTGTGGGTTCCCAATTTAAAAAAAAATTGGGGGCCCCCCCCCCGGGGGGAAAAGGGGGGGCCCCGGGTTTTTTTTTTTTGGGGGAAAAAAAAAGGGGGGGGGGGGGGGGTTTTTTTAAAAAAAACCTTTTTAATTTCCCCGGGGGTTTTCCCCCCCGGGGTAATTTTTTGGGGCCTTTTTTTTTAAAAAAACCCCCCCCCCCCGGGGGGGGGGGTTTTTTTGGGGGGGGGGTTTTGGGCCCTTTTAAACCTTTTGGGGGGCCCCCCCGGGGGGGGGCCCCAAAAGGGGGGGCCGGGGGGGAAAATTTTTTAGGGTTTTAAAAGGGGGGGTTTTGGGGGCCAAAGGGGGTTTTCCCCGGGGGGGGGGTTAAAAGGGGGGAAATTTTGGGGTTTTCCTTCTTTTGGGGGGGGAGGCCCCCAAAATTAAGCCCTTTTTAAAAAAACCCCCCGGGGGCCCCCCCAAAAAAAAAAAAATTAAAGGGGTTTTTAAGGGACCAAGGGGGTTGGGGGGGGCCAAAGGGTTTTGGGGGCCCCCCCTTTTAAAAAAAAATTTTTTTTGGGGCCCGGGGGGTCCCCCCCTTTGGGGGGGGGGGCCCCCTTTTTGGGGAAAATTGGGGAAAATTTACCCCTGGGGTTTGGAAGGCCCCCGGGGGGTTTTTGGGGGGCCCCCCCTAAGGGGGGGTTTTTTTTGGGGCCCGGGGGTTTTTTCCTTTGGGGGGTTTTCCCGGGGGTTTAAAAACCGGCCCCGGGGGGGGGTTTCCCGGGGGGTTCCCCCAAAAATTTTTTTGGGGGGCCCCGGGGGGGGTTTTTTTCCCCTTTTTTGGGGGGGGGGGGTCCCTTTTTCCCGGGGGGGGTAAGGGGGGGGGGTTTTTTTCCCCCGGGGGGGGGGGGGCCCGGGGGTTCCCCTTTTTGGGGGGGTTTTGGGGGGCCCCCCCCCTTTTTTTTTTTAACCCCGGGGGGGGGGGGGGGGCCCCCCTTTTGGGGGGGGTCCCCCTTTTTTTTCCCCCCCGGGGGGGGTTTGGGGGGGCCCCCCGGGGTTTGGGGGGTTTGGGGCCCGGGGGGCCCCCCCCCCAAAGGGGGGGGTTGGGGCCCCGGGAAAAAATTTTTGGGGGGGGCCCCCCCCGGGGGGGTTTTCTTTTTTCCCCCCGGGGGGGCCGGGGGGCCCTGGTTTAAATTGGGTTGGGGCCCGGGGTCTTTCCCTTTTTTTTTGGGGGGGGGGGGGGGGGGGCCTTTTTGGGGGGGGGGGGCCCGGGGCCCCGGGGGGTTTTTGGGGGCCCCCGGGGTTTCCCTTGGGGAAAAAAAAATTTTTTTTTGGGCCCAAAAGGGCCCGGGGGGGGGCCCCCCCCGGGGGGGGGTCCCTTTTTGGGGGGTTTTTTGGGATTTTTTTTTTTCCCCGGGGGGTTTGGGCCCCCCCCCCAAAAGGGGGGGCCCCGGGGGGTTTTTTTTTTTGGGGGGGGGGAAAAAAAGGGGGGGGGGGGGCCCCCGGGGGGTTTTGGGGGGGGGTTTTTTTCCGGGGGGGGGGGGAAAAAGTCTTTTGGGTTCCCCCCCGGGGGGGGGGGGGGTTTGGGGGTAAATTTTTTTTGGGTTTTTCCCCGGGGCTTGGCTTTTTAAAAAGGGGGGGGGGGTTGGGCCCCGGTTTGGGGGTGGGCCGGGGGCCCCCCTTTTTTTTTTTTTTTTGGGGGGCCCCCCGGGGGGCCCCTTTTTGGGGGTTTTTGGGGGGGGGCCCCCCCCGGGGGGGGGGGGGGAAAGGGGGTTGGGCCCCCCCAAGGTTTTTGGGGGGGGGGGGGGTTTTTTTTTCCCGGGTTTTCAAGGGGGCCCCGGGGGCGGCCCCTTGGCCCTTTTTGGTTAAGGGGGGGCCCCGGGCCCCCGGGGTTTTTTGGTGAAAGGGGGGGGGCCCCCTTGGGTTTTTTTAAAAGGGGGGGGGGGCCCCCCCCCCGGGGGGGGGGGGGGGCCCGGGGTTTTGGGGGAAAGGGGGAGGGGGTTTGGGGCCCCCCAAAAGGGGGGGATTTTGGGGGGGAAAAAGGGGGCGGGTTTCCCCCCGGGGGGGCCCGGGGGCCCGGGTTTAAAGGGGGGGGGGGGCCCCCGGGGTTTTTTTTTGGTTTTGGGGGGGGGGGGGCCCCCCCCCCTTTTTTTTTTCCGGGGCCCCCGGGGTTTTTGGGGGGTTTTTTTTTGGGGGGGCCCGGGGTTCCCCCCCCTTTTTTTTTGGGGGTTCCCAAGGGGTTTTTTTGGGGGGGCCCCCGGGGTTTTTCCCCCCTTTTTTTGGGGTTTTGGGGGTTCCCAAGGGGGGGTTTTTTCCGGGGAACCCGGGGGTTTTTCCCCCCCGGGGGTTTTTTGGGGGGGGAAATTTTTTTTTGGGGGCCCCCAAAAGGGGGGGGGTTTTTGGGGGAAACCGGGGGGTTTTTTGTGGGTTTTTAAGGGGGGTTTTGGGGGGGAAAGGGGTTTGGGGTTTCCCCGGGGGCCCTTGGGGGGTTTTTTTGGGGGGGGAGGGTTTGGGGTTTTTGGGGGGGCCCCCTTTGGGGGGCCTGTTTCCCCTTTTTTTTTGGGGGGGGGGGAAAAAAGGGGGGGGTTTTTTTCCCCAAACCCCCTTGGGGGCCCCCGGCCATTCATTTTTTTGGGGTTTTTTTCCCCCCCCCCCCTTTTTGGGGGGGGGGGGTTTTTAAAAAGGGGGGGTTTTTGGGGGGGGTTTGGGGGGGTTTTTTTTTTTCCCGGGGGAAGGGGGGGCCTTTTAAAAATTTAGGGGGGTTTTTGGGGGGGGTTTTTTTTTTTGGGGGGGGGTCCCCGGGGCCCTTTGGGGCCGGCCCTGGTGGTTTTTTTGCCCCCCGGGGGGGGGGGGGGGGTGGGGGGGGGTGACCCCGGGGGGGCCCCTTGGCCGGGTGGTTTTCCGGGGGAAGGGGTTTTTTGGGGGGGGGGGGGCCCCTTGGCCTAAAGGGGGTTTTTTCCGGGGGGGGGGCCCTGGGTTTTGGGGGGGGGCCCCCCGGGGGGGCCCCCTTTTTCGTTTGGGGGGGGCCCCGGGGGGGGGGGGGGGGGGGCCCCCCCCCCGGGGGGGGGGGCCCCCCGGGGGGGTTTGGGGTTTTTTGGGGCAAATTTTTGGGGGCGTCCCCGGGGGGGGGTTGGGGGGGGGGTTTTTTGGGGGGTTTTCCCCCGGGGGCCGGGGCCCCGGGGGGGGGTTGGCCTTGGGGTTTTGGGGCCCTTTTATTTTTTAAAAAAACCGGGGGGGCGTCCCGGGGGGGGGTTTTCCGGGGGTTTTTTTCTTTTGGGGGGGGGGGGGGGGGGGTTTTTCCCCCCCCCCCGGGGTGGGCCCGGGGAAAAAGGGGGGGGGGTTTTTTTTAAAATTTAAGGGGGGGGGGCCCCGGGGGGGGTTTTTCCCCCCCGGGGTTAAATTTTAAACCTTTTTTCCCCCCCCGGGGGGGGGGGGGGAAAAGGGGGTTTTTTGGGGGGGGGGTTTTTTTTGGGGGGCCCTTTTTTAAAGGGGGGGGGCCCCGGGGAAAAAGGGGGGGGGGGGCCCCGGGGTCCCGGGGTTAAACCTTTTTTTAAAAAGGGGGTTGGGGGAAGGGTTTCCCCGGGGGGTTGGGGTTTTTTGGGGGGGGTTTTTTAACCCCGGGGGGCCGGGCCCCAAGGGGCCGGGGGTTTTCCCGGGGGGGGGGGGTTTTTTTCAAAAAAAAAAGGGGGCCCCCCGGGGGGGGGTTTCCCGGGGGGCCCCCCCCGGGGGGGGGGGGGGTTAACCCCGGGGGGGGGGTTTTTTAGCCCGGGGGGGGCGGGGGGCCCCCCCCCTTTTTTTTTGGGGGGGGGATTTTTTTTTGGGGGGGGTTTCCCTTTGGGGCCCGGGGCCCCCCGGGGGGGGTTTTTTTTGGGGGGTTTTTGGGGGGCCCCGGGGGGGGGGGGCCCCCTTTTTTCCATTCAAAAGGGGGGGGGGGGGGGGGGGAAAAAGGGGGGTTTTTTTGGGGGGCCTTTTCCCCCCCCGGGGGGGGGGGGGGGGGGGCCCCCCCCCGGGGGGGGGGGGGGTTTTTTTTTGGGGGGGGGGGGGCCCCCCTTTTAAAGGGGGGGTTTGGGGGGCCCCCGGGGGGGGGGAAAGGGGGGGGTTTGGGGGCCCGGGGGGGGTTTTTTTGGGGGGGGGGTTTTTTTTTTTTTGCAAGGGGGGGGCCGGGGGGCCCCCAAAATGGGTTTTTTGGGGGCCCCCCCCCTTGGGGTTTTTTGGGGGGGGGGGGGCCCCCCGGGGGGGGGGGTTTTTTTTGGGGGGGGGGTTTTCCCCCCCATTTGGGGGGGGGGGGGGGGCCCGGGGGGAAAAGGGGTGGGACGGGGGGGGGCCCCCAAAGGGGGGGGCCCCGGGGGCCCGGGGCCGGCCAGGGGGGGGACGGGGAGGCCCGGTTTTTGGCCCTTGGTTTTTTCCCCCCCCCCTTTTTTTTTCCGGGTTTTTGGGGGGGGGCCCCCCCCCGGGGGGGGGGGGGGCCCCGGCCCCGGCCCTTTTTGGGGCCCCGGGGGCCCCCCCCAAAAAATTTTTTTTGGGGGCGGGGAGGGCCCCGGGTTTTTTAAAAAGGGGGGGGGGGGGGGTTTTTCCCCCCCCCGGGGGGGGGGGGGGGCCCCCCTTTTTTTTGGGAAATTTGGGGGGGCCCTTGGGTTTTTTTTGGGGGGGGGGGGGGGAAAAGGGGGGGGCCGGGGGCCCCCTTGGTTTTTCCGGGTTTTTGGGGGGGGGGCCCCTTTCCCCCCAAATTTTTTTTGGGGTGGGGGTTTTTTTGGCCTTTGGGGGGGGGGCCCCGGGGGTTTTTGGGGGCCCCCAAAAATTTTTGGGGGCGTTTGGGGGGGGGCCCCCCGGGGGGGGGCCCCGGGGGGGCCCCCCTTTTTTGGGGGTTTTTGGTTGCGGGGGCCCGGGGGGGGGTTTTTGGGTTTTTAGGGGGGGGGGCCCCCCCCCCCCCTTTTTTTTTGGGGGTTTTTAAAAAGGGGGGGGGTTTTTTGGGGGGGGGGGCCGGGGGCCCCCCTTTTTTTTTGGGGGTCCCTTGGGGGGGTTTTCCCAAACTTTGGGGGGGCCCGGGCCCCCTTTGCGGGGGTTTTTTTGGAGCCCCAAACTTTGGCTTTTGGGGGGGGGTTTTTTTTGGGGGCCCCCTTTTAAAGGGGGGGTTGCCGGGGGCCCGGGGGCCCCCCCGGGGGGGGGTACCCCGGGGGTTCCCCCCCGGCCTTTTTTTGGGGGGGGGGGGGGGGCCCCCAAAAATTTTGGGGGCCCCAACCCCCCGGGGTTCCCCCAAAGGGGGGGATTTGTTGGGGCCCCCCCGGGGGGGGGTTTTTTTTTTTTGGGGGGGGGGGGGGGGGGGGAAAAAAAAGGGGGGGGGGGGCCCCAGGGGTTTTTGGGTTTTTTTCCCCGGGGGGGGGGTTTTTTTTTTTGGGGGGGGGGTTTTTTTTAAAAACCCCCCCCCCGGGGGGGGGCCCCCGGGGGTTCCCCCCTTTTTTTTTGGGGGGGAAAACCCCCCCGGGTTTGGCCCTTTTTTGGGGGGGGGGGGGGGCCCCCCCGGGGGGGGGGGGGGGGGCCCTTTTCCCCGGGGAAGGTTTTTGGGGGGGGGGGGAAAAAAAAAAAAGGGTTTGGGGGGGGTTTTTTAAAAAGGGGGGGGGGGTTTGGGGCCCCCCCTTTTTTTGGGCGGGGGGGGTGGGGGTTTTTTTTGGGGGGGGACCCCGGGGGGGCCCTTTTTGGGGGGGAAAAAGGGGGGGGGGGTTTTTAAAATGGGGGAAATTTTGGGGGGGGGCCCCCCCCTTTTTTTTTTTTTCCCGGGGGGCCCCCGGGGGGGGGGGGGGGGGAAAATTTTTTTTGGGGGGGGGTTTTTTTTGGGGGGGGGGCCCCCCCCCCAAAAGGGGGGGAAAAGGGGGGGGGGGAAAAAAGGGGGGGGGGGAAAAAGGGGGGGGGGCCCCCCCCGGGGGAAAAAAAAAATAACCAAACCCCTTTGTTTCCCCAAAAAACCCCCCCTTTTTAAAAAAGGGGAAAAAACCCCAAAAAAAAAAAAATTTTTTTGGGGGGGGGTTCCCCCGGGGGTTTGGGTTTTTCCCTTGGGGGAAAAAGGTTTGGGGGGGCCCCCAAAAATTTTTTGGGGGGCCCCCCGGGTTTTTTTTAAAAAAAACCCCGGGGGGGGAAACCCGGGGTTTTTTTGGGGGTGTCCAGAGCGTCCGAGGGCGTCTGGCGTCCCTGGCCATAGCAGTGGTGGTGATCGCTGTGGGAGTCCCTAGTAGTCTAATGTCATGTGTGTTGCAGAGCGTCACCGAGGGAGGTCTGGCGTCCCTGGCCATAGCAGTGGTGGTGATCGCTGTGGGAGTCCCTAGTAGTCTAATGTCATGTGTGTTGCAGAGCGTCACCGAGGGCGTCTGGCGTCCCTGGCCATAGCAGTGGTGGTGACTACGCTGTGGGAGTCACCTAGTAGTCTAATGTCATGTGTGTTGCCAGAGCGTCACCGAGGGCGTCTGGCGTCCCTGGCCATAGCAGTGGTGGTGATCGCTGTGGGAGTCCTAGTAGTCTAATGTCATGTGTGTTGCAGAGGTCACCGAGGGCGTCTGGCGTCCCTGGCCATAGCAGTGGTGGTGATCGCTGTGGGATCCCTAGTAGTCTAATGTCATGTGTGTTGCAGAGCGTCACCGAGGGCGTCTGGCGTCCCTGGCCATAGCAGTGGTGGTGATCGCGTGTGGGAGTCCCTAGTAGTCTAATGTCATGTGTGTTGCAGAGCGTCACCGAGGGCGTCTGGCGTCCCTGGCCATAGCAGTGGTGGTGATCGCTGTGGGAGTCCCTAGTAGTCTAATGTCATGTGTGTTGCAGAGCGTCACCGAGGGCGTCTGGCGTCCCTGGCCATAGCAGTGGTGGTGATCGCTGTGGGAGTCCCTAGTAGTCTAATGTCATGTGTGTTGCAGAGCGTCACGAGGGCGTCTGGCGTCCTGGCCATAGCAGTGGTGGTGATCGCTGTGGGAGTCCCTCTGTGGTGGAGGACCACTGAAACATACAGAGCATGGCTACCGGTCACCCAGATCAACCAGCTAGCTCAGCTGCAGGTTAACACAGCTGTGTGTGTGTGTGTGTTCTGTGTGTGGTGGTGTGTGTGGTGTGTGGTGTGTGAGTGTGTGTGTGTGTGTGTGTGTGTGAGAGATCAAATTGTATTTGTCACATGTTTTGTAGACTAACAGTGAAATGCTGACTTACGGCGCTTCCCAACAATACAGAGAAAGAAGATAGAGAAATAATAGCACAGTAAAAGTATTAATAAATACACAAAGAGAAATGATAACTTGGCTACATACAGCAGGGTACCAGTACTGAGTCCATGTGCAGGGGTACCAGGTAATTGAGGTAGCTATGTACAGTCCAATGCTTGTTATTCATTGATGGAAATTCCAGTGGATGTGCTCCAACTTCAAGATGCTAATACATCCTCAAGCTCCTTGCAGAGGTGGGACCAAGTCACTATTATTTGAGTTTCAAGCAAGTCTCAAGTCAACAAGGTCCGAGTCTCAAGTCGAGTCCCAAGTTAGACGGGTCAAGTCCAAGTTGTGCTTTCTAAGAGCAAGTCAAGTCAAAACAATTCTATACATGCAACGACTTGTTCAACTACAAATCTTTGTCTATTTATTGAGGACAGCCCTTTTCATCATTCTGTCTACATATTTTTATTAGCCTCTGTAATTGTAAAATATGGACCTTGTAGCGGTCGTAAGGGCGTGAAATCAGCTGAAGGCAACGGCAGGTTGACGTGCTCAGAGTGTAGATTTATTTACAGGTCTTGGTGAAAGCGCCATTATCATACAAAATATACAAGTAGATTGACCAAATATCCACGGGGCAATAGGCTTAAAGAAATATCCTCTGTATCAGGCTGAACCAGTCCAATCTGAATGGATGGTAGAGGGCAAAGCTGACCAGCCTCCCCTTGAGAAACCAAATGGACTCTGTCTGACAGGACCTCAAACAGGCAGGCCTATGTAATATAACCACTCGGCCCCCAGGACCATACGATTACCCAACTGGCAATTACAAACCAATAAACTGGTTCTACAATGTAAAAGTACATTTCCACATCCGTTGGTACATTCGTCTTAATCAGACTTAATGATATTTCAACACCACGCATACGTGGAACAATCATTGTATCTTATTCAACGTACTGACTCCAAAGCGTGGAGCGCTGGCCACGTAGCCTATTTCTATACACTGAGGCGCTTCCTATTGCGCACAACCAGAATGACAGACACACGGAACTCCAACACAACCCGGGAAATACAAAGGAAACCATACGTTGAATTAAATAAAACAGAATTTCTACCTCATGAGCCTTGCCAACGTTCCTGTGCACTATAAACATCGCACCCACTCAGAGCAGGGTAAGAAATGGTTGGCTATATGAAAATGTATCCTAGGCCTATGAAACAGAAATGCTATTCAGGAGCCTTTTGGTCCCAGACTTGGCGCTCCGGTACCGCTCGCCATACGGTAGCAGAGAGAACAGTCTATGACTAGGGTGGCATGGAGTCTTTGACAATTTGTAGGGCCGTTCCTCTGACACCGCCCTGGTATAGAGGTCCTGGATGGCAGGAAGCTTTGGCCCCAGTGATGTACTGGCCGTTACGCACTACCCTCTGTAGTGCCTTGCAGTCGGAGGCCGAGTGTTGCCATACCAGGCGGTGGGTGATGCAACCAGTCAGGATGCCTCGATGGTGCGCGTATAACTTTTTCAGGGATCTGAGGACCCATGCCAAATCTTTTCAGCCTCTTGAGGTGGAATAGGCTTTGTCGTGCCCTCTTCACGAACTGTCTTGGTGTGTGTGGACCTGTTAATTCCTTAATTTGTGTGTGTGCAGGTTACAGAGTGTGTGTGCAGGTTAACAGAGGGTGTGTGTTGTGTGTGGGTGCAGGTTGTGGCAGTTTACAGAGCTGTGTGTGTGTTAACATAGCTGTGTTGTGTGAGTGTGTGTGTAACAGAGCTGTGTGTGGTGTGTGTGTGTGCAGGTTAAACAGAGGTGTTGTGTTGTGTGGTGTGGGGTGTGTGTTTGTGTGGTGTGTGTGTGTGTGTGGGTGGGTTTAAACATAGTGGGTGGGGGTGTGTGTGGTTAACATAGCTGTGGTGTGGTGTGTGTGTGTAACATAGCTGTGTGTGGTGGTGTTAAAGAGCGGTGTGTGTGTGTGTAACAGAGCTGTGTGTGTGTGTGTTTGCAGATCCAGTTGAGTGTGGAAGTGGAGGGTGGTGTTCTCTAGAGGAACTCTGACTACCCGAACACCAGAAGAAAAATTGAGCCCACCCACACACGGCAGGAGGAGCACACTGTGGACGGTGAGGGGGGGGGGGGGTAGACACGGCAGGAGGAGACACACTGTGGACGGTGAGAGGGGGGGGGGGGTAGACACGGCAGGAGGAGCACACTGTGGGACGGTGAAGGGGGGGGGGGGAGGGGGGGGGTAGACACGGCAGGAGGGCACACTGTGGACGGTGAGAGGGGGGGGGGGTATAGCACGGCAGGAGGAGCACACTGTGGACGGTGAGGGGGGGGGGGGGGGTACACGGCAGGAGGAGCAACACTGTTTGGACGGTGAGAGGGGGGGGGGGTAGACACGGCAGGAGGAGCACACTGTGGACGGTGAGAGGGGGGGGGGGTAGACACGGCAGGAGGGAGCACACGTGGACGGGAGAGGGGGGGGGGTAGACACGGCGGAGGAGCCACTGTGGACGTGAGAGGGGGGGGGGGGGTAGACACGGCAGGAGGAGCACATGTGGAGGTGAGTGGGGTGGAGGGGGGGGGGGGTGACCGGGGGGAGAATTGGGGGGGTGGGGGGGGGGAGACACGGCCAAGGGGAGCACATGTGGAGGGGGGGGGGGGGGGGGGGGTTTAGACACGCCAGGAGGAGCACCACTGTGGAGGGGGGGGGGGGGGAGGGGGGGTAGGTGGGGGGGGGGTAATGGTAGACCGGCAAGGAGGAGCACACTGTGGACGGTGAAGGGGGGGGGGGGAAGGGGAGGACAACTGTAGGTGAGGGGGGGTTAGACACGGCCGGAGGAGCCACTGTGGACGGTGAGGGGGGGGGGGGGTGGCACGCGGAGGAGCACATGTGGACGGTGAGGGGGGGGGGGGGTAGACACGGCAGGAGGAGAACACTGTGGACGGTTTAGGGGGGGGGGGTGGGGGGGGGGTAGACACGGCAGGGGGAGCCCCACTGTGGACGGTGAGGGGGGGGGGGGGGGGGGGGAGACAACGGCAGAGGAGCACATGTGGACGGTGGGGGGGGGGGGGGGTGGGGTAGACACGGCAGGAGGAGCACACTGTGGACGGTGAGGGGGGGGGGGGGGGGGGTAGAACCACGCCCGAGGAGCACACTGGGGGACGGTTGAGGGGGGGGGGGGGGGGGGGGTAGACACGGCAGGAGGAGCACACGTGGACGGGTGGAGGGGGGGGGGGGGGGGTTTGCAGGCAGGGACACATGTGGACGGTGAGGGGGGGGGGGGGGTTGGGGGCGCAGAACGGCGAGGAGCACACTTTACGGGGAGGGGGGGGGGGTTTTTGGGGAAAAGGGGGGGGGGTGAGGGGGCGGGGGTGGGGATTGGTGGGGCGTGTGGGGCGGGGGGGTAGAGGAAGTGACTGACTAGTAGGGCTGTCCAATAAAAAATAGTTGTCTGTTCTTTCGACCATCGATTGGTGGGACTTTTTTAAAGTGGGTTTTCCATTAATTTTAAAATCCCAGTGTTTTAATCAAAACCCGATCCAGGAGGTAAAAAGGGGGAAAATGGTTTCTCAGGAGGTAAAGGGGATGAGGTTTCCAGGAGGTAAAGGGGGGTGTTTTTGGGTTTTTCGGAGGTAAAGGGGAAAAATGGTTTCTCGGAGGTAAAGGGGGAAAGATGGTTTTGGAGGTAAAGGGGAATGTTTGGGGTTTTCAGGAGGGGAAAGGGGAAAAGTTTGGTTTCTCAGGGGGGAAAGGGGGAAGTTTTTTTTCTAGGGGGTAAAAGGGAAGATGGTTCTCAGGAGGAAAGGGGATGTTTGGTTCTCGGGGGTAAGGGGAATCTTGGGTTTTTTCAGGAGGAAAGGGGAAATTTTGGTTTTTCAGGAGGTAAAGGGGAAGGTTTTGGGTTTTTCAGGAGGTAAAGGGAATGTTGGTTTCTCAGGAGGTTAAAGGGAAAAGTTTGGTTTTCAGGAGGGGAAAGGGGAATGTTTTGGGTTTTTCAGGAGGTAAAGGGGAATGTTTGGTTTCTCAGGAGGGGGAAAGGGGAATGATGGTTTCTCAGGAGGTAAAGGGAATTTTTTGGTTTCCGGAGGTAAAGGGGAATGTTGGTTTTTCAGGAGGGTAAAGGGGAAGTTGGTTTTTCAGGATGGTAAGGGGAATGTTTGGTTTCTCAGGAGGTAAAGGGGAATGTTGGGTTTCTCAGGAGGTAAAGGGGAAAGTTTGGTTCTCAGGAGGGGGAAAGGGGAATGTTGGTTTCTCAGGAGGTTTAAAAGGGGGAATGTGGTTTCTCAGGAGGGGAAAGGGGAATGTTGGTTTCTCAGGAGGTTTAAAAGGGAATGTTTGGTTTTTAGGAGGGTAAAGGGGAATGTTTGGTTTCTCAGGAGGTAAAGGGGAATGTTTGTTGGTTCAAGGGTAAAGGGGAATGTTTGGTTCTCAGGAGGTAAAGGGGAATGTTGGTTTCTCAGGAGGTTAAAAGGGGAATGTTTGGTTTCTCAGAGGGAAAGGGGAATGTTTGGTTTCTCAGGAGGGTAAAGGGGAATGTTTGGTTTCTCAGGAGGTAAAGGGGAATGTTTGGTTTCTCAGGAGGTAAAGGGGAATGTTTGGTTTCTCAGGAGGTAAAGGGGAATGATGGTTTCTCAGGAGTAAAGGGGAAATAATTTGGTTTCTAGGAGGAAAGGGGAATGTTTGGTTTCTCAGGGGGGAAAAGGGGAATGTTTGGTTCTCAGGGGGGTAAAGGGGAATGTTTGGTTTCTCAGGAGGTAAAGGGGAATGTTTGGTTTCTCAGGAGGTAAAGGGATGTTTGGTTTCCAGGAGGAAAAGGGGGGAAGATGGTTTCAGGAGGTAAAGGGGAATGTTTGGTTTTCAGGAGGTTAAAGGGGAAGTTGGTTTCTCAGGAGGTGGTAAAGGGGGAATGTTTGGTTTCTAGGAGGTAGGGTAAAGGGGAAGGTTTGGTTCTCGGGAGGAAAGGGGATTTTAAAAAGGGGAATTTTTGGTTTCTCAGGAGGTAAAGGGGAATGTTTGGTTTCTCAGGGGGGTAAAGGGGAATGTTTGGTTTCTCAGGAGGTAAAGGGGAATTTTTGGGGTTTCTAAAGGAGGTAAAGGGGAATTTTTGGTTTCTCAGGAGGTAAAGGGGAATGTTTGGTTTCTCAGGAGGGTAAAGGGGAATTTTTGGGTTTTCTCGGGGGTAAAGGGGAATGTTTGGTTTCTCAGGAGGTAAAGGGGAATGTTTGGTTTTCGGAGGTAAAGGGGAATGTTTGGTTTTCGGGGGTAAAGGGGAATGTTTGGTTTCTCGGGAGGGTTAAAGGGGGAATGTTTGGTTTCTCAGGAGGGTAAAGGGAATGTTGGTTTCTCAGGAGGTAAAGGGGAATGTTTGGTTTCTCGGGAGGTAAAGGGGAATGTTTGGTTTTCAGGGGGGGTTTGAGGGGAAAAAGGGGGAAATGTTTGGTTTCTCAGGAGGGTAAAGGGGAATGTTTGGTTTCTCAGGAGGTAAAGGGGAAGTTTGGTTTTCAGGGGGGTTAAAGGGGAATGTTTGGTTTCCAGGAGGTTAAAGGGGGAATGTTTGGTTTCTAGGAGGGGTAAAGGGGAAGGTTTGGTTCTCAGGGGGGTAAGGGGAATGTTGGTTTCTCAGGAGGTAAAGGGGATGTTTGGTTTCTCAGGAGGTAAAGGGGAATGATGGTTTCTCAGGAGGTAAAGGGGAATGTTTGGTTTCTCAGGAGGTAAAGGGGAATGTTTGGTTCTCAGGAGGGGTAAAGGGGAATGTTTGGTTTCTCAGGAGGTAAAGGGGAATGTTTGGTTTCTCAGGAGGTAAAGGGGAATGTTTGGTTTCTCAGGAGGTAAAGGGGAATGTTTGGTTTCTCAGGAGGAAAAAGGGGAATGTTTGGTTTCAGGGGGGTTAAAGGGGAAATGTTTGGTTTCCGGGAGGTAAAGGGGAATGTTGGTTTTCTCAGGAGGTAAAGGGGAGGGTTTGGGTTTTCTCAGGAGGGGTAAAGGGGAATGTTGGTTCTCAGGAGGTAAAGGGGAATGTTTGGTTTCAGGAGGTTAAAGGGGAAATTTTTGGTTTTCTCAGGAGGTTGGTAAAGGGGAATGTTTGGTTTCCAGGAGGTAAAGGGGAATGTTTGGTTTCAGGAGGTAAAGGGGAATGTGGTTTTCAGGAGGTAAAGGGGAATGTTTGGTTTCTCGGGGAGGTAAAGGGGAATTTTTGGTTTCAGGAGGGTAAAGGGAATTTTTGGTTTTCTCAGGAGGTAAAGGGGAATGTGGTTCTCAGGAGGTAAAGGGGATGTTTGGTTCTCAGGAGGTAAAGGGGAATTTTTGGTTTCTCAGGAGGAAAAGGGGGAATGGGTTTAGAGGTAAGGGAATTTTTGGTTTCTCAGGGGGGAAAAAAAAGGGGGAATGTTTGGTTTCAGGAGGTAAAGGGGAATGTTGGTTTCAGGAGGTAAGGGAATGTTTGGTTTCTCAGGGGTAAAGGGGAATGTTTGGTTTTCAGGAGGTAAAGGGGAATGTTGGTTTCTCAGGAGGAAAGGGGAATGTTTGGTTTCTAAGGAGGTAAAGGGGAATGTTTGGTTTCTCAGGGGGTAAAGGGATGTTGGTTCAGGAGGTAAAGGGGAAGTTTGGTTTTCAGGTAAAGGGGAATGTTTGGTTTCTCGGAGGGTAAAGGGGAATGTTTGGTTTTCAGGAGGTTAAAGGGGAATGTTTGGTTCTCAGGAGGTAAAGGGGAATTTTTGGTTTCTCAGGAGGTAAAGGGGAATTTTTGGGTTTTTCCCAGGAGGTAAGGGGGTTGGTAAAAAGGGGAATGTTTGGTTTCTCAGGAGGTAAAGGGGAATGTTTGGTTTCTCAGGAGGTAAAGGGGAATGTTTGGTTTCTCAGGAGGTAAAGGGGAATGTTTGGTTTCTCAGGAGGTAAAGGGGAATGTTTGGTTTCTCAGGAGGTAAAGGGGAATGTTTGGTTTCTCAGGAGGTAAAGGGGAATGTTGGTTTCTCAGGAGGTAAAGGGGAATGTTTGGTTTCTCAGGAGGTAAAGGGGAAGTCAGATGTGTGGAATAAAGGTGACTAGTTGTGTAAAATTCATAAAGTTCAAGACAAACAAGGTAAGGAGAAGCGCTGCTGCATATTATGTGTCTCAAACAGGTGCTGTATAGATGACTACATAATGTTTCTGACCGTTTGGAACAATGTAAACAACACTAAATACATTATAAGCAACCAGAGAGTCTGTTGTAAGTTTATGGTGAACCCTTTTATTACAACAAGGACTAAAAACAGTCGCATGCATTCGTGAACGAAAACTGCCGACAGGAACGGTTATTTATTGTATAAGCTAATAATTCAAGGCTCGCTTTATTTTAAAATAAAATGCTTTTTTGCATTCTAAAGTATGAATAACTCGTATGCAGTGTGATGACAATAACTATTGATTGATTGATACAGTAGCCTATAGAAGTATTTAAATATTGTTGCAGGATTAAGACTAAACATAATGCACTCTTAGGCCTACTGCTCCATGGTGGTTATACAAGGCTACTAATGATAACGACATGACTTATTATTATAATGATGATCATAATAACAACAATAAGAGGGAGATCTAGATAAAGGAGGGTTTAGAATTATTATTATTATAAATAATTATTTTTCTGCCTGTTTGGAACAGTGTAAACAACACTAAATAAATAATACCAGAGAGGCTGTTCTAATGAAAGAAAGCGTACAACCTTTATTACAGCACAGCAAAGATTACAAACAGCAGAATTAGTGAACTTGTTTATCCCACATGTTGTGGTTGTGTGAGGCTTGGTGCTCACGGAATCAGTAGGCTGTTACTCAAACACTCCAAAAAGGGAACAGAAGCAGGATCTGCCTTGTTTCTGTAGATATGGTGATTTCTAAAGCCCGGCCCATTAACAGTTAGGCTATTGATTAAGACCTAATTAAGTTATGGTTTCCTCTCTCCTCACTTTCTTAGACAATTAAGGCAAGGGTGTTTTTTTGTCCTAACTCCACTGCTGCCTCCGCCGCATTTTTCTCAACACCAAATTTCTAGTTAACTTTGCTATTATGCAATAGAACATGGTTAGGAAAAAAGCGCAAAATTCAAAAGGCACTGATTGGTTTCAGAACCGCGGACAGCGACCCCTATCCAAGGTGAGAAAGCACATTTGTTATAAAATAATATTCTTTTATTATTGTTTGCACCTTGTTCTTACATAATATAACCATATATAATTCAGTAGCACATGTCTTAGACTGAGGATGTGCCATCCCCACGTACTCCATTTAAAGGATCAGTCCACTCAGACAGACCTCCATAAGGATCAATCCACTCGACAGGCCTCCACAATGGATCAGTCCACTCAGACAGGACCAATCAGACAAGTGTCTTGTGACACCATTTGGTTTTTGCTTTTGCCGAGTAAAGAAATCTCAGTTCGACCGACAGCTATATCCAGTAGACAAATGGGGTCAGCCCTACTGAATATAACATTTCAATTTTTTAAACAGGGGCGAGCAGGCAAAACAAGGGAAAAGAGGGGGAGAAAAAGGAAGAAAAAACGAAAAGAAATCGGGGCCCTAAACCGGGGCCCCCGCCTACCCTCGCTCCTCCCTTTCCCCCTCTCTCCCCCCTGCCCTCCTCTCCCCCCTTCCTCCCCCATCCCCTCTCCCCCCTCCCCTTCTCTCCAATCCTCCCCTCTCCCCCCCTTGGGTCCTTCTATCCCATCCCTCCCCTCCCCCAACCTCTCCATGGCCTCCCTTTCCTATCTTCTACCCCCCTGCAGGCAGGGGTTAGCCCACAGGGGGATGAGATTTTGATCACACCTTCCTCGGCTCTCAGCCTATCATCTGGGTATTATCTTTCTGAACCAGCCCACCGCTGCAGGTCAGTGGCTGTCTCAGCCTATCAGCTGGGTATCTTTCTGAACCAGCCCACCGCTGCAGGTCAGTGGCTGTCTCAGCCTATCAGCTGGGTATCTTTTCTTCAGATCTAGAATATAAACTGTCATTATGTATCATCTCTCTCTCTTCCCCTCCAGAGACTGATCGGTCTCTTCATCTGCTCAGTGAGAGCCCCTGTGGCTCCGTGGTCATCTATGTGCTCCCAGAATCCTCCACACTGCTACCAGAGGTGAGAACACAGACACACGTAATATTGATTCTCTCAAGTCAAAGGGTGGCTACTTTGAAGAATCTCAAAAAATATATTTTGATTTGTTTAACACTTTTTTAGTTACTACATGATTCCCATATGTGTTATTCATAGTTTTGAGTTTCACTATTATTCTACAATGTAGAAAATAGTAAAAATAAAGAAAAACCCTTGAATGAGTAGGTGTGTCCAAACTTTTGACTATACTGTGTATATATAATATGTGTGTGTTCCAGGCTGTGAGTGTTTACGTGGGTCAGAGGCGGACAGGTTGTGTAACCCAATGAAAGTGGGCCTTCCTAAAGTTAACCACCGGAGGCCCAATCAGAACCCAGGTTCCTCCAGGTAGTCCTTACCCAAACCCCGATCCTTTGCAGGTTAGCCTAACTAACCCCGTTTAACAGAGGGGTTGGTCAATGAACCCCCTTTTAACCCAGTCCAGGTTAGTCCTAATCCTAACCCCTAGTTAACCCAGTCCAGGTTAGTCCTAATCCTAACCCCTAGTTAATCCTAGTCCAGGTTAGTCCTAATCAAACCCTAGTTTAACCAGCCCGGTTAGTCCTAATCCTAACCCTAGTTAACCCCCCGTCCAGGTTAGTCCTAACCTAACCCTAGTTAACCCCAGTCCAGGTTAGTCCTAATCCTAACCCCTAGTTAACCCCAGTCCAGGTTAGTCCTAATCCTAACCCCTAGTTAACCCTAGTCCAGGTTAGTCCTAATCCTAACCCCTAGTTAATCCTAGTCCAGGTTAGTCCTAATCCTAACCCCTAGTTAATCCTAGTCCAGGTTAGTCCTAATCCTAACCCCTAGTTAACCCCAGTCCAGGTTAGTCCTAATCCTAACCCCTAGTTAATCCCAGTCCAGGTTAGTCTTTTCCTAAATAAACCCAAATCGGTTAGTTCCAATCTAATTTTTATTCCTAGAGGGAGGGCCTAATAAACTCCTAAGTTACCTAGCCAGGTTGTTATTAAACCTCCCCAGTTCCCATCCAGGGTTTTTCCAATCAACCAAGAACCCCCCAAATTTCCTAATTAACAAAATTAACCTAGGGGCCAGGTTGCCAATTTACCCCCAACAGCCCGGGTCCTTAACCCAAACCCAGGGTTAATTAAACAAAAATTGTTTCAACCGGTCCCAGCCCGGTTTGTCCCCACCCTGTTCATGTATTAGTATAATAAAAGTGGATTGATAGAGTAAGGTTATTATATTGTTAAGAAGGGGAAAGGGATAGGGGTTATAAGTGAGTTGAATGAGAAATTTGGTTGATAATCGTTCAGTGGTGCATTTCAGATTTCAGTAAGCACTTAGAAACTAAACATTGTTGCCAACTATTCACATCGGAGAGTTACAATGAAGACAATCACCTAGGCAGCCAACTGTCTATAGTAGGAAACAGAGTTGTTATCAATCACCAGGCAGCCAACTGTCTATAGTAGGAAACAGAGTTGTTATCAATAAGCCATGTATATCACATGACACGAGTCACGACCCCACGATAGTTCAAATTACAATAAACATAACATTTATTAACATCATCCAGTAGAACTGTAAAAAATAATTGAGATATCATTTGAGCTTCGGAAACAAGTGCTTTCATAAATGCATGGCGGGCCTCGTTTCACAGGAGCATTGGAAAATAAGCTTTCAATTAACCAGCCTTAACGAATGTTGTTTATTTACATATCGAATTTGATTGTCCAACATCAGTTTAATAATTTCTTCATTGTGTGGTCGCCTAGTGTCCTCTTTCCTCTGATGGGAATGGGATGGGCCAGCCCAGGCATGGCTAGAAGGGATCCAGCTTTGGTCAAATTAACGTCAAAAGTAGATTTTTATTTGTCATTTTAGCTAACCCTAACCCTTTTCCTAACCTTAACCTAATTATCCTAACCTGCTGCTTAAGTTCTCCTAACCTGCTACGAAAAGTCAAATCTGACTTTAATTTGACAAATGCTGGATTCCTTCTAGCCATGAGCGGCCGGCCCTGGTGTCCGTAGATAGGTTGCAATCACTAGTCAGCCAACTGTCTATAGTAGGAAACATGAGCGGCCGGCCCTGGTGTTCGTAGACAGCCATGCTGGATTCGTTCTAGCCATGAGCGGCCGGCCCTGGTGTCCGTAGACAGCCATGTTGGATTCCTTCTAGCCATGAGCGGCCGGCCCTGGTGTCCGTAGACAGCCATGTTGGATTCCTTCTAGCCATGAGCGGCCGGCCCTGGTGTCCGTAGACAGCCATGTTGGATTCCTTCTAGCCATGAGCGGCCGGCCCTGGTGTCCGTAGACAGCCATGTAGTGTTATTTATTAGGTCTAATGGAGATGTTCATGCCGGGGCTAAATTCAATTACAGAGGCATAGATTGTACTTGAAAACAGCTGTATTTTGTTATTTATTAATGAAAATGTTCATACAAGGTCGGTCGCAAATTATATTATACAAATAATATATTTTGAAGTTGTGTTTTATTACTCTGAAGGCGACTTGTTTTTCTAGGCCAACTCTTTTTACTGACTCGATTCATGATTTGTTTTTCCCCAGTGACTCGTTCATTTTAGTCGTTCATTTGACGCTGGCCGCAATAAATTCTACTGCAGGATTAATACGCGTTCTTCTCTCACTAAACCTGCGGCCGTGCTCTGACCACGAACTGTCTAGATCACGCTTTAGAACTGATAATTGATCGTATCACGGTGCAAGAAGGAAATAATGAATGCAATTAATTGATTATTCAATGTTATGGATGGATACCGTTTTGTAGAACCAAAACGCAGCCATGTCTCTGCTCAACACTCAAACTCGAAGAACTAATCGTTTGAGGGGCTGCTGCAGTTGGCACGTGCTAATCTCCCTCGGCAGTCAAGTCATTCCGCCAAGATACATTTGACATTTTAGTCATTTAGCAGACGCTCTTATCCAGAGCGACTTACAGTCAGTGAGTGCATACATTTTCATACAATGGGATTTTCTTTTCTATCGGACGATTCCGCAACAGTTTTATTTATAGGCTTTTCATTTATTTGATCGTCCAAAAGTCGCCATTAGCCGGCTAACGGAAACCTTGGTACACCCCTACCCTTTATCGTCCATTAAATGACTAAAACAAATGATTAGAAATCATCAGAGAGTAACTTGGAGGGTCCAGCCTTACGTGAAGATCAGAAACGTGGTCTGGTTTGGTCTTAACCATACAGGTAACAAGTTATACCAAGATCAAAAGAGCTCTTTGAGGCCCTCAGAGGAAACATTGTTGAGGCCCGTGAGTCTGGGAGGAGTCACAGAGCCATTTCCAAGCAATTTAAAGTCAATCATTCCAGTGTCTGATGGATAATTTATAGATGGAGAGAAAATTCCAGACCACTGGCAATCTCTCTAGGAGGAAGTCCCACCAAATTCAGCCCAAGAGCTGTCCGAAAGATGCTAAAAAAAAGTCTCTAAGAACCCCCAGGGTAACATCATGGGATCTACAGGCCTCTCTTGACACAATCGACGTCGAACTGCATGAGTCAACGGTCAGAAAGGGACTACACACACTTGGTCTCCATGGGAGGCCAAGGAGGAAGAAGCTTCTGCTCTCCAAAAAATCATATAAATGCACGGCTGTAGTTTGCCAGAATTTAAATGATGTGTGTCGCGCAGTCAAAATGTTACAATATGCAGCGTGTTCCACAAAATGTGTATATGTATAACGTTTTTTGAAAACGCTCATAACTTAACTTACATAAATTGCACTGAAAATCGGTGGTCAGCTAGAAGGGTTCTATAGTCGCTAAACGTACCGTTATTTTCCAGTCCATTTAAATCAAATCAAATCAAATGTTATTGGCCACATGCGCCGAATACAACAGGTGCAGACATTACAGTGAAATGCTTACTTACAGCCCTTAACCAACAGTGCATTTATTTTTTACAAAAAAGTAAAAATAAAACAACAACAAAAAGTGTTGAGAAATAAAGAGCAGAAGTAAAATAAAATAACAGTAGGGAGGCTATATATATATATGTTGAACTCGAGGTGATTTAGTCCTCCAATCGCTAGAGAGTGTCCGAAGTTGGGTGAAAATTAGCTAGTTTGCCAGACAACACCTGGGTGAAGAACAATGTGCTCTGGACAGATGAGTCAAAGGTGGCGTTGTTTGGCCACTATGCCAGACGTCATGTTTGGTAAAAACAAAACACGGCCTTTTGAACGGAAGAACCTCACACCAACCATAGAGCATGCCGCCTCAGGGCCTGGCCAGTTTGCCGTCATTGAGTCAACCGTCAATCCACATTGTACCAGAGAATACTGGAGGAGATTGTGAGGCCATCTTTCAAAAAAGCTGAACCCAAAATGGATCTTGCAACAGGACAATGGTCCAAAACATAGGAGCAAATCCACAACGGAATGGCTCAAAAATAAGAAATGAAGGGTTATGGAATGGCCGAGTCAAAGGCCAGATCTTAATCCTATAGAAATGAAGGGTTATGGATTGGCCGAGTCAAAGGCCAGATCTTAATCCTATAGAAATGCTGAGGGGGACTTGATGCGGGCCGTACATGCAAGAAAGCCCTCAAACAACACACAGTTGAAGCCGTTCTGGAAGGAAGAGTGGGAAAAAATTCCTCCCAGTCGATGTAAGAGACAGTTACAAGAAACACCTACATTAAAGAGATGCTTCAGGATTTTGACAATGAAGGCCTTTCTCTACTTCCCCAGAGTCAGATGAACTCGTGGATCCCAGTATTATGTCTCCGTGTCCAGTTTGAAGGAAATTGCTAACTGGCGTTAGCGCAATGACTGGAGGTCTATGGGTATTTTAGCATTCTAGCAGATACCCATAGACTTCCAGTCATTGCGCTAACTCTAGTTAGCATTGGCTCACAAAACTACCTCTTAACTTCCTTCATTGTGGACAAAGAGACATAAAAATGGTGTCCATGAGTTCATCTGACTCTGGGGAAGTAGATACAGGGCCTCATTGGGGAATTAACACAGAAATATGTGTTCTAGATCTGTGATTCTCATTGAAAGCCAGTCTAAGAAGCGGTAGATCTGTTCTATGTGAGCTATTTCTATGCTTCCCGTTCTTAAGTGTCGTTTTTGCGACTTTTACTTTCGGTTTTGTCCACCAGCTTCAACAACCTGAAAACACAATATTTTTGGTTTAATTAAAATATATTTCACAGCAGTTTAGATGGTCCAATGATTCTCTACACACTATAGATTGCTTGTTTTGTCACACAAACTGAAATTAGGCGAACTATTAGAATTTTTGCAACCAGGAAATGGCAGAGCGATTTCTGCATATTGCATCTTTTAAGTTATTTCAGCCAAAGGGGGCAACACCAGCTATTGTTGCTAGGGGTGTACTTACTTTTCCTGTACATTTCATTCCTGTAGATAGATTTTTGTTGAATAAATGATTGCCAAGTGTAGCTTTTCAGTGTTATTTGATAAATTAGGTTCCCTTTATCTGTCAATAGTATTGAAATGAAGATCAATTATCCATATGACCAAATATGTCAAAAAATAACTTTTCGGCGTTGTATGTCCACACGTCGATCTTACATTTTGCTCTCTCCCCCCCTCCTCTCTATTCTCTCTCTCCCCCCTCCCCTCCCCTGCAGGTTATGAAATAACCTTCAGCTTGTTGAACCCTGACCCTAAATCTCACCATCTGCACTGGGACATAGAGGCAGCGGTCCAGAGCTATGTCCAACCGCTCCTGTCTAAGCTGGCCCCGGTGGCTGACTTCAGTCTGGACTCACAGATCCTCTACTACGCCGTCCTGGGGGTCAACCCACGTTACGACCCCTCCCTCAACGCCTACACGCTCAACGCTGACAGCCTATCTCACGTCATTAACCCCGTAGAGGCCAGGCTGGGTGAGAACACGCACAGGTGTACAGTGTTCAGACCCCTTGACTTGTTCTACATTTTGTTACGTTACAGCCTTATTCTAAAATGGATTAAATAGTCCCCCCCCCCCCTCATCAATCTACACACAATACCCCATAATGACAAAGCAAAAAACAGGTTTTTAGAAATTTTAGCAAATGTATTAATAATAACAAACTGAAATATCACATTTACATAAGTATTCAGACCCTTTACTCAGTAATTTGTTGAAGCACCTTTGGCAGCGATTACAGCCTTGAGTCTTCTTGGGTATGACGCTACAAGCTTGGCACACCTGTATTTGCGGAGTTTCTCCCATTCTTCTCTGCAGATCCTCTCAAGCTCTGTCAGGTTGGATGGGGAGCGTTGCTGCACAGCTATTTTCAGGTCTCTCCAGAGATGTTCGATCAGGTTCAAGTCCGGGTTCTGGCTGGGCCACTCAAGGACATTCAGAGACTTGTCCCGAAGTCACTCCTGCGTTGTCTTGGCTGTGCGCTTAGGATCGTTGTCCTGTTGGAAGGTCTGATGTCCTGAGCGCTCTGGAGCAGGTTTTCATCATGGATCTCTCTGTACTTTGCTCCGTTAATCTTTGCCTCGATCCTGACTAGTCTCCCAGTCCCTGCCGCTGAAAAACATCCCCACAGCATGATGCTGCCACCACCATGCTTCACCGTAGGGATGGTGCCAGGTTTCCTACAGACGTAACGCTTGGCATTCAGGCCAAAGAGTTCAATCTTGGTTTCATCAGACCAGATAATCATGTTTCTCCTGGTCTGAGAGTCCTTTAGGTGCCTTTTTGCAAACTCCAAGCGGGCGGTCATGTGCCTTTTACTGAGGAGTGGCTTCCGTCTGGCCACGCTACCATAAAGGCCTGATGGGTGGAGTGCTGCAGAGATGGTTGTCCTTCTGGAAGGTTCTCCCATCTCCACACAGAGGAACTCTAGAGCTCTGTCAGTGACCATTGGGTTCTTGGTCACCTCCCTGACCAAGGCCCTTCTCCCTCGATTGCTCAGTTTGGCCGGGCGGCCAGCTCTAGGAAGAGTCTTGGTGGTTCCAAACTTTAAGAATGATGGAGGCCACTGTGTTCATGGCGACCTTCAATGCTGCAGACATTGTTTTGGTACCCTTCTCCAGATCTGTGCCTCGACACAATCCTGTCTCGGAGCTCTACGGACAATTTCTTCGACCTCATGGCTTGGTTTTTGCTCTGACATGCACTGTCAACTGTGGGACCTTTATATAGACAGGTTTGTGCCTTTCCAAATCATGTCCAATCAATTGAATTTACCACAGGTGGACTCCAATCAATTTGTAGAAACATCTCAAAGATGATCAATGGAAACAGGATGCAGCTGAGCTCAATTTCGAGTCTCATAGGAAAAGGTCTGAATACTTACGTAAATAAGGTATCTGTTTTTTATTTTGAATACATTTGCAAAATAACCTGTTTCCGCTTTGTCATTATGGGGTATTGTGTGTAGATGAGGATTTTTTTTCTTTCTTTAATCCATTTTAGAATAAGGCTGTAACGTAACAAAATGTGGAAAAAGTCAAGGGGTCTAAATACTTTATGAATGCACTGTATCTACGTACACACATGTACAGTGCCTTCAGAAAGTATTCAGACCCCTTGACTTTTTCCACATTTTGTTACAGCCTGAAATAGAAATGCAAATAACATCTCACCCATCTACACACAATACTCCATAATGACAAAGTTAAAATGAGATATTTCTGTATTTCATTTTCAATACATTTGCAAAAATGTAAAAATACATGTTTTCACTATGCCATTATGGGGTATTGTGTGTAGATATGTGAGAAAAACAATATATTTAATCAATTTTAAATTCAGGCTGAAACACAACAAAATAACAGTAGAGTAGAAAATAACATGGTTATATAAACAGGGAGTAGAAAATAACATGGTTATATATACAGGGAGTAGAAAATAACATGGTTATATATACAGGGAGTAGAAAATAACATGGTTATATATACAGGGAGTAGAAAATAACATGGTTATATATACAGGGAGTAGAAAATAACATGTTATATATACAGGGAGTAGAAAATAACATGGTTATATATACAGGGAGTAGAAAATAACATGTTATATATACAGGGAGTAGAAAATAACATGGTTATATATACAGGGAGTAGAAAATAACATGGTTATATATACAGGGAGTAGAAAATAACATGGCTATATATACAGGGAGTAGAAAATAACATGGCTATATATACAGGGAGTAGAAAATAACATGGTTATATATACAGGGAGTAGAAAATAACATGGTTATATATAAAGGGAGTAGAAAATAACATGGTTATATATACAGGGAGTAGAAAATAACATGGTTATATATACAGGGAGTAGAAAATAACATGGTTATATATAAAGGGAGTAGAAAATAACATGGTTATATATACAGGGAGTAGAAAATAACATGGTTATATATACAGGGAGTAGAAAATAACATGGTTATATATACAGGGAGTAGAAAATAACATGGTTATATATACAGGGAGTAGAACATAACATGGTTATATATACAGGGAGTAGAAAATAACATGGTTATATATACAGGGAGTAGAAAATAACATGGCTATATATACAGGGAGTAGAAAATAACATGGCTATATATACAGGGAGTAGAAAATAACATGGTTATATATACAGGGAGTAGAAAATAACATGGTTATATATACAGGGAGTAGAAAATAACATGTTATATATACAGGGAGTAGAAAATAACATGGTTATATATACAGGGATTAGAAAATAACATGGTTATATATACAGGGAGTAGAAAATAACATGTTATATATACAGGGAGTAGAAAATAACATGGTTATATATACAGGGGAGTAGAAAATAACATGGTTTATATATACAGGGAGTAGAAAATAACATGGTTATATATACAGGGAGTAGAAAATAACATGGTTATATATACAGGGAGTAGAAAATAACATGGTTATATATACAGGGAGTAGAAAATAACATGGTTATATATACAGGGAGTAGAAAATAACATGGTTATATATACAGGGAGTAGAAAATAACATGTTATATATACAGGGAGTAGAAAATAACATGTTATATATACAGGGAGTAGAAAATAACATGTTATATATACAGGGAGTAGAAAATAACATGGTTATATATACAGGGAGTAGAAAATAACATGGTTATATATACAGGGAGTAGAAAATAACATGGTTATATATACAGGGAGTAGAAAATAACATGGTTATATATACAGGGAGTAGAAAATAACATGGTTATATATACAGGGAGTAGAAAATAACATGTTATATATACAGGTTAATTATACAGGGAGTAGAAAATAACATGTTATATATACAGGGAGTAGAAAATAACATGGTTATATATACAGGGAGTAGAAAATAACATGGTTATATATACAGGGAGTAGAAAATAACATGGTTATATATACAGGGAGTAGAAAATAACATGGTTATATATACAGGGAGTAGAAAATAACATGGTTATATATACAGGGAGTAGAAAATAACATGGCTATATACAGGGAGTAGAAAATAACATGGTTATATATACAGGGAGTAGAAAATAACATGGTTATATATACAGGGAGTAGAAAATAACATGGCTATATACAGGGAGTAGGAAATCACAGTACGGACCGAACGGTTACAGTAATTTCACTGTGTTTTTCAGGCTCCAGCGCTGCGTCATCCAACCCTGTCCTGAACTTCCTGCTGTACGTTCCAGATGCACGCCACTCCCCCCTCTACATCACCGACCACCGCAAAGACATTGTCGTCTCCAATGCTTTCAGCTCCCCGCGCTGGGGTGGCATCATGGTAACACACACACACACACACACACACACACACACACACACACACACACATACTCATTCAAGGGTTTTTCTTTATTCGTACTATATTCTACATTGTAGAATAATAGTGAAGACATCAAAACTATGAAATAACACATATGGAATCATGTAGTAATCAAAAGTGTTAAACAAATCAACATATATTTTATATTTGAGATTCTTCAAAGTAGCCACCCTTTGGCTTGATGACAGCTTTGCACACTCTTGGCATTCTCTCAACCAGCTTCATGAGGTAGTCACCTGGAATGCATTTCAATTAACAGGTGTACCTTGTTAAAAGTTAATTTGTGGAATTTCTTTCCCTCTTAATGCGTTTGAGCCAATCAGTTGTGTTGTGACAAGGTAGGGGGGTATACAGAAGATAGCCCTATTTGGTAAAAGACCAAGTCCATATTATTGCAAGAACAGCTCAAATAAGCAAAGAGAAACGACAGTCCATCATTACTTTAAGATATGAAGGTCAGTCAATCCAGAAAATGTCAAGAACTTTGAAAGATTCTTCAAGTGCAGTCGCAAAAACCATAAAGCGCTATGATGAAACTGGCTCTCAAGAGGACCGCCACAGGAAAGGAAGACCCAGAGTTACCTCTGCTGCAGAGGATTAGTTCATTAGAGTTACCAGTCTCAGAAATTGTAGCCCAAATAAATGCTTCACAGAGTTCAAGTAACAGACACATCTCAACATCAACTGTTCAGAGGGGGCAGAAACCCCTACTAAAGGACACCAATAAGAAGAAGAGACTTGCTTGGGCCAAGAAACACGAGCAATGGACATTAGACCGGTGGAAATCTGTCCTTTTGGTCTGATGAGTCCAAATTTGAGATTTCTGGTTCCAACCGCCGTGTCTATTTACCAAGAAGGAGAGTGATGGAGTGCTGTGTCAGATGACCTGGCCTCCACAATCACCCAACCTCTAACCAATTGAGATGGTTTGGGATGAGTCGGACGGCAGAGTGAAGGAAAAGCAGCCAACAAGTGCTCAGCATATGTGGGAACTCCTTCAAGACTGTTGGAAAATCATTCCAGGTGAAGCTGGTTGAGAGAATGCCAAGAGTGTGCAAAGCTGTCATCAAGGCAAAGGGTGGCTACTTTGAAGAATCTCAAATCTAAAATATATTTTGATTTGTCAACACTTGTTTGGTTACGACATGATTCCATATGTGTTATTTCATTGTTTTGATGTCTTCACTATTATTCTACAATGTAGAAAATAGTAAAAATAAAGAAAAACCCTTGAATGAGTAGGTGTGTCCAAACTTTTGACTGGTACTGTATCTCTAGTGCGTTCAGAAAGAATTCACATCCTTTGACTTTTTCCACATATTGTTGTTGCAAAGTGGGATTCAAATGGATTTCATTGTCATTTTTTGTCAATGATCTACACAACATACTCAAATGTCAAAGTGGAAGAAACTTTATTACATTTGTTTTTTTTTAAATCATGAAAAATACAACACTAATATATCTTGATAAGATAGGTATTCAACCCTCTGAATCAATACATGTTAGAATCAAATCACAGTCTTTCTGGGTAAGTCTCTGAGAGCTTTCCACACCTGGATTGTACAACATTTGCCCATTATTCTTTAGAAAATTCTTCAAGCTCTGTCAAATTGGTTGTTGATCATTGCTAGACAACCAATTGCAGGTCTTCAGGCCATAGATTTTCAAGCAGGTTAAAGTCAAAACTGTAACTCGGCCATCAGGAACATTCACTGTCTTCTTGGTAACCAACTCCAGTGTAGATTTGGCCTTGTGTTTTAGGTTATTGTCCTGCTGAAAGGAGAATTCATCTCCCAGTGTCTGTTGGAAAGCAGACTGAACAAGGTTTTCCTCCAGGATTTTGCCTGTGCTTAGCTCCAGTCAATTTCTTTTTTATCCTGAAAAACTCCCCAGTCCTTAATGATAACAAGCATACCCATAACATGATGCAGCCACCACTATGCTTGAAAATATAGAGAGTGGGACTCAGTAATGTGTTGTATTGGATTGTCCCCAAACATAACACTTTGTATTCAGGATAAAAAGTTAATTGCTTTGCCACATTTTCTGCAGTTTACTTTAGTGCCTTGTTGCCAAACAGGATGCATGTTTTGGAATATTTTTATTCTGTACAGGCTTCCTTCTTTTCACTCTGTCAATTAGGTTAGTATTGTGGAGTAACTACAATGTTGTTGATCCATCCTCAGTTTTCTTCTATCACAGCCAATAAACTCTGTAACTGTTTTAAAGTAATCATTGGCCTCATGGTGAAATCCCTGAGCTGTTTCCTTCCTCTACGACAACTGAGTTAGGAAGGACGCCTGTATCTTTGTAGTGACTGGGTGTATTGAGACACCATCCAAAGTGTAATTAATAACTTCACCATGCTCAAAGGGATATTCAATGTCTGCTTTTTTTTTTTTTTTTACCCATCTACCAATAGGAGCCCTTCTTTGCGAGGCATTAAAAAACCTCCCTGGTCTTTGTGGTTGAATCTGTGCTTGAAATTCACAGCTCGACTGATGGACCTTACAGATAATTGTCAGAGATGAGGCAGTCATTCAAAAATCATGTAAACACTATTTAGTCCATGCAACTTATTATGTGACTTGTTAAGCAAATGTTTACTCCTGAACTTCTTTAGGCCATAACAAAGGGGTTGAATACTTATTGACTCAAGACATTTCAGCTTTTCATTTGTAATTAATTTGTAAAAAATTTGAAATAACATAATTCCACTTTGACATTATGGGGTATTGTGTGCAGGCTAGTGACACCAAATCTCAATGTAATCCATTTTAAATTCAGGCTGTAACACAACAACATGTGGAAAAAGTTGAGGGGTGTGAATAATTTCTGAAGGGACTGGACATCACACACAATGTCTTCTGTTGTCTCCCCCTCTCTAGGTGTATAATGTCAATAATAGTTCTGGTCCTGGGACAGAGCTTCCTGTTGACATCAACATAGACATGACCAGAGTGATGGGAGTCTTCCTAGCACAGCTACGGTCAGTACTGCTGTGTGTGTGTGTGATTAAGGGGACGTTGATTTTATCCTTGTCCGTGATTTCCAATGCTTTCTCAGTGGGAGACGGCGTACGTTGACGGTCAGTGGAGATGACGCGTCCCTATCCATACAGTTTCCATCCACCGACAAAAAGTTCAGACCAGTTGAACTTTTGACGGGCCGGTGGATACGTTCGCTAATTGCACTCCGCGCACGAACCATGGACCAAAATGAATCAGTTCCCCCCCCCTCTCTGTCTCTGTCTCTCTCCGTCAGGCTGATGTTGGGTGTCCAGTCGTCAGCCCCTCCCCCTGGCTTCCTGGTTGGCCCGTGTGGCCCCGCGGGATTGGCTGACTGGGAGTTGGATCGCCTCTTGTGGAGTCGCAGTGTAGAGAATGTTGCCACGGCAACGACAACCATCACCTCATTGGCCCAGCTGCTGGACCAGATAGGAAACATCGTCATCAACGACAACATCGCAGAACAGGTAGGGGCGGGGTGTGGGTGGGGTGTGGGTGTGTGTGTGTGTTTGTCTGTGTGTGTGTGTGTTTGTCTGTGTGTGTGTGTGTGTGTGTTTGTCTGTGTGTGTGTGTGTGTGTGTGTGTGTGTGTGTGTGTGTGTGTGTGTGTGTGTTGTTTGTCTGTGTGTGTGTGTGTGTTTGTCTGTGTTTGTGTGTGTGTGTGTGTGTGTGTCTGTGTGTGTGTGTGTGTTTGTCTGTGTTTGTCTGTGTGTGTGTGTGTGTCTGTGTGTGTGTGTGTGTGTGTGTGTGTGTGTGTGTGTAGGTCTTGCCATTGCCATCGTCATGGTCGCTAACGGGTGTTTTCCGTCAGGTGTCGGCAGCGGTCGCCTCTCTCCAGTTGGCTGTGGGTCAGTTGGAGTCAGGGAACCTTGGCCTGGCCATGCAGTACAGTAAGGAAGCTATCCTCCAATCAGAACGAGCCTTCTTCGACCCCTCCCTCCTCCACCTCCTCTACTTCCCTGACGATCAGAAGTTTGCCATCTACATCCCTCTCTTCCTGCCCATGTGTGTTCCAATCCTGCTCTCGCTGCTCAAGATGGCCGCCGAGGCCCGCCAGAGACGAAGGGAGAGACAGGACAAGAAGGACTGAGAGAGAGAGATGGAGATCGACCAATGAACGCGCACACACTGTCGGTTCAAAGGTCAACAAAGTGTTTAAAGGAAACTGTCTGGACTCATAACCCAGATATGATATTAAGACCATTAGAAATACTGGCTCACAGAAGATAACCTACATGGGGCCGTATTGATCAACCTTCTCACGATGAGTGTTGATTTAGGATCAGTTTTGCCTTTCAGAACACATTTTAATAAGGTTATGTGGACCTGATCCCAGATCAGCGCTCCTCTGAGCAGGGGTTGGAACCAAAATGATTTTCCAATCGTTCCCGAAGCAGAACCCTGTTCTTTTCGTTCCATTCCGGTGTTCCAACCAGATTGTTTTTATTTTATTAAAAAACAAGTTACTGTTCATATAGTTCCTATTTGTTCCTTTTTTAAACTCTGAAATCAATATCCTTTTACCATTTAGGTCATTCATTTATTCCTCCAGTTAGCACCAATATGTTTAGGCTATTACTAGCATCAAAACTTTACAGAATTATATACTAGACATTAGGAATGGTTTTGGAATAAAAAAATAACGTTGTTAACCGGTTATCAAGATTAGAAAATAACGGTTCTTTTCCGGGAACACTAGAGATCACTTTCGTTCCCGGGTTCAGTTATTCGTTCCTTGGAAAATGTCGTTCTTTTTTGTTTTCAGTTCTGTTCCCTGAACCGGTTCCAACCCCTGACTGAGACCCTTTACTGCAGTCTGAAACGCCTGGTGGCAGGGGGAGGATGCCATCACCATGGTGATGTTGAAACGTTTTTACTTGTCTTGTATTCGCCTGATGTCTGATCTGGAAGCAACAGGTCTCTCTTGCACTGTAGCAACAGGGTTTTGATTTGTTTTATTTATTTTGGGAATGATGCTTTACTTACGCTCTTGTCGATTCTTATATGAGAGGGACTCGTACGATTATTTGGGAATTAATTGATTTGATATTTATTTAGGGAAGGACGTCGTCCATCAAAGTCTGGTTGGACACAATCCCAGATAGAAGAACTGTCTCACTTTCTGAATTCTATATATTTTTGGTTTTGTTTGTTTGTTTTGTACAAGTTTATGACAATAAATAAAAAAAAGGGGTCTGCTCTTATTTTATTCAGTTTGTTGATAAATATATTGAACAAAAATATAAACGCAACAATTTCAATGATTTTACTGAGTTACAGTTCATATAAGGAATCAGTCAATTTAAATAAATAAATTAGGCCCTAATCTATGGATTTCAGAAGGAGGGGAAGGGGCGGAGCCATGAGTGGGCCTGGGAGGGCTTAGGCCCAGCCAATCAGAATGAGGTTTTCCCCACAAAAGGGCTTCATTACAGACCAAAATACTCCTGTTTCATCAGCTGTCTGGGTGGCTGGTCTCAGACGATCCCAAAAAGTGAAGAAGCCGGATGTGGAGGTCCTGGGTTGGCGTGGTTAAACGTGGTTTGCGGTTTTGAGGCCGGCTGGATGTACTGCCAAATGCTCTTAAATGACATTGGAGATGGCTTATAGTAGAGAAATGAACATTAAATTATCTGGCAACAGCTCTGGTGGACATTCCTGCAGTCAGCATGCCAATTGCACGCTCCCTCAAAACTTGAGACATCTGTGGCATTGTGTTGTGTGACAAAACTGCACATTTTAGTTATTGTCCCCAGCACAAGGTGCACCTGTGTAATGATCATGCTGTTTAATCAGCTTCTTGATATGCCACACTTGTCAGGTGGATGGATTATCTTGGCAAAAGAGAAATGCTCACTAACAGGGATGTAAAGAAATTTGTGCACAAAATTTGAGAGAAATAAGCTTTCTGTGCGTATGGAAAATGTCTGGGATCTTTTATTTCAGGCCATGAAACATGGAACAGGCACTTTACATGTTACGTTTATATTTTTGTTCAGTATAGTAACTGCAAACATCAATTGTACTTATTCTAGGAACATTACTGCGTTCTGGTATTCGTCTGTGCAGGTTCCGACCGAACGGGTCGTCATTAGTTACCACGCCTACTCGACCAATCAGGTGAGGGAGTGTGATGACTGCATATTCCGGTTCTCGTGAAATGGCATATCTCGAGTTGAGTTTGAGGACCAAATAACTAAATACGTTCAGGAACATGAATTAGCAACGTCACTAAAATTCGCTACATTGAGAAAGGAGAAAAGTTTTGGACAGAAGGTTGCTGGCATTTATTTTTTTGATAACTAGTAGCTAACTTTTGCTACTCACATCTAAAATAAGAGATAAGAGATTCCATTCCAAGCACAGAGGAGTTGTACTATTTGATAGAGCAACGTTGTTCGTTTCCCTACAAGCCTTTTGTAGTGTCGAGTCAATGTTGCTAATTATTGCTGTTAAACAAAGGAGTCCGCTTATACTGAACTTTGATCATACGTTTTATTCATATCACAAGATTTCAGCATAAGTTTACGGATGTCATGATCACCCGGAGAGCAGTGTCCTCCAAATTACAATGTCTGCTCTGCTCTTCTTTGTTTAAACCCAGTACTTATACTATTCCCCAAAATATGGGTTGCTCCCTCTACTGTCCAATCCCCTGTTTACAACACACACTCCCTCTGTTCTATGTGGCGTCACACTAAAACAATTCCCTCTGACACTAAATAAACATCCTCTCAGGTTCCACTTAAAAACATTAACAAAGTCATAATCTTAATACACTACACTTTCATTCTAATAGTAATATATTTTATCTTGACCTTCGAATACCCCAAAGGTAGAAAAAGCGCTCCGTTGGACGCAGTGGCGGTCGGTGCCGTTTTAAGATGAGGATGATTTTTTTTAAATGAGTGTAACCGGTGTGAAATGGCTAGCTAGTTAGCGGTGCGCACTAGTAGCGTTTCAATCGGTGACGTCACTCGCTCGGAGACCTTGAAGTAGTTGTTTCCCTTTGCTCTGCAAGGGCCGCGGCTTTTATGGAGCGACGGGTAACGGTGCTTCGAAGGGTGACTGTTGTCGATGTGTGCAGAGGGTCCCTGGTTCGAGCCCAGGTTGGGGCGATGAGAGGGACGGCAGCAGCACTGTTACATGAGCACGGCCTTATTCCTATTACAGCATATTGGATGACTGTTATCCATATTCCATTCACCCAGCTCAATGTAACATCGATAGGTTTAGGCTACTACATAATACTACCATTTTCTATACCCATCATGAGGTTGCTACAACCTAGCCTATGAATGAAAGTTTACAACGTAGGTGCACACAGGCCGAGAGACATTTGAGAGACAAGGTGACAGACATATTCAGTACCGCCTTGCACACTCTTGCCTGAATCTAATTGATCTAGGGCAGGGTTCTTCACTTCCGGTCCTGGAGGGCCGAAACACCTCTGTTTTTCATCCTCTCCTTCTAATCAGGGGCTAATTCAGACCTGGGACACCAGGTGAGTGCAATTAACTACCAGGTAGAAATAAAATTGAAGAACCCTGATCTAGGGTGGTTATATTTGTCCTGTTTTCACTGCGTGTGTATATCAAACTGTAACCCTATGTAATACTGTGTATAGAAGTACCATGTATGTAAAAAGTGTTGGTCACTAAATCCGTCTAGAAGGACCATGTAGAAACGGTTGGCTGGTATGCCTTCACCCGTCTGAGCGGTCGGCTGTGAATGCCCTCACCCGTCTGAGCGGTCGGCTGTGAATGCCCTCGCCCGTCTGAGCGGTCGGCTGTGAATGCCCTCGCCCGTTCTGAGCGGTCGGCGTGAAATGCCCCTCGGCCCGTTGAGCGGTTCGCTGTGAATGTCCTCGCCAGTCTGAGGCGGTCGGCTGTGAATGACCTCCGCCGCTGAGCGGTCGGCTGGCATTACCGCCCGTCGGAGGGTCGGCTGTGAATCTCGCCCGTCTGAGCGGTCGGCTGTGAATGCCCTCGGCCCGTCTGAGCGTCGGCTGTGAATGCCCTAGCCACGTCGTGAATGCCCTCGCCCGTCTGAGCGGTCGCTGTGAATGCCCTCGCCGTCTGAGCGGTCGGCTGTGAATGCCCTCGCCCGTCTGAGCGGTCGGCTGTGAATGCCCTCGCCCGTCTGAGCGGTCGGCTGTGAATGCCCTCGCCCGTCTGAGCGGTCGGCTGTGAATGCCCTCGCCCGTCTGAGCGGTCGGCTGTGAATGCCCTCGCCCGTCTGAGCGGTCGGCTGTGAATGCCCTCGCCCGTCTGAGCGGTCGGCTGTGAATGCCCTCGCCGTCTGAGCGGTCGGGTGTGAATGCCCTCGCCCGTCTGAGCGGTCGGCTGTGAATGCCCTCGCCCGTCTGAGCGGTCGGCTGTGAATGCCCTCGCCCGTCTGAGCGGTCGGCTGTGAATGCCCTCGCCCGTCTGAGCGGTCGGCTGTGAATGCCCTCGCCCGTCTGAGCGGTCGGCTGTGAATGCCCTCGCCCGTCTGAGCGGTCGGCTGTGAATTCCCTCGCCCGTCTGAGCGGTCGGCTGTGAATTACTCGCCCGTCTGAGCGGTCGGCTGTGAATTACTCGCCCGTCTGAGCGGTCGGCTGTGAATGCCCTCGCCCGTCTGAGCGGTCGGCTGTGAATGCCCTCGCCCGTCTGAGCGGTCGGCTGTGAATGCCCTCGCCCGTCTGAGCGGTCGGCTGTGAATGCCCTCGCCCGTCTGAGCGGTCGGCTGTGAATGCCCTCGCCCGTCTGAGCGGTCGGCTGTGAATGCCCTCGCCCGTCTGAGCGGTCGGCTGTGAATTACTCGCCCGTCTGAGCGGTCGGCTGTGAATTACTCGCCCGTCTGAGCGGTCGGCTGTGAATGCCCTCGCCCGTCTGAGCGGTCGGCTGTGAATGCCCTCGCCCGTCTGATGCGTCGCTGTGAATGCACTCGCCCGTCTGAGCGGTCGGCTGTGAATGCCTCGCCCGTCTGAGCGTCGGCTGTGAATGCCCTCGCCCGTCTGAGCGGTCGGCTGTGAATGCCCTCGCCCGTCTGAGCGGTCGGCTGTGAATTACCCTCGCCCGTCTGAGCTTGTCCTGTGAATGCCTCGCCGTCTGAGCGGTCGGCTGTGAATGCCCCCGCCCGTCTGAGCGGGCGGCTGTGAATTGCCCGCGCACAGTCTGAGCGGTCGGCTGTGAATGCCCTCTCCCGTCTGAGCTGGTCGGCATGTGGATGCCCTCGCCCGTCTTGAGAGCGGTCGGCCTGTGAATTCCCTCGCCCGTCTGAGCGGTCGGCTGTGAATGCCCATCGCCCGTCTGAGCGGTCGGCTGTGAAATGCCCTCGCCAGTCTGGCGGTCGGCTTTGAATGCCCCTCGCCCGTCTGATGCCGGTCGGCTGTGACTGCCCTCGCCCGTCTGAGCGGTCGGCTGTGAATGCCCTCGCCCGTCTGAGGTCGGCGGCTGTGAATGCCCTCGCCCGTCTGAGCGGTAGGCTGTGAATGCCCCGCCCGTCTGAGCGGTCGGCTGTGAATGCTGCCCGTCTGAGCGGGCGGATGTGAATTACTGCCCGTCTGAGCGGTCGGCTGTGAATTACTCGCCCGTCTGTAGCGGTCGGCTGTGAATTGCCCTCGCCCGTCTGAGCGGTCGGCTGTGAATGCCCTCGCCCTCTGAGCGGTCGGCTGTGAATGCCCTCGCCCGTCTGAGCGGTCGGCTGTGAATGCCTCGCCCGTCTGAGCGGTCGGCTGTGAATGCCCTCGCCCGTCTGAGCGGTCGGCTGTGAATGCCCTCGCCCGTCTGAGCGGTCGGCTGTGAATGCCCTCGCCCGTCTGAGCGGTCGGCTGTGAATGCCCTCGCCCGTCTGAGCGGTCGGTGTGATGCCCTCGCCCGTCTGATCGTCGGCTGTGAATGCCCCTCGCCCGTCTGAGCGGTGGCTCGTGAATGCCCTCGCCCTTCTGAGCGTGTCGGCTGTGAATGCCCTCGCCCGTCTGAAGCGGTCGGCTGTGAATGCCATCGCCGTCTGAGCGGTCGGCTGTGAATGCCCTCGCCCGTGAGCGGTCGGCTGTGAATGCCCGCCCGTCTGAGCGGTCGGTGTGAATCCTCGCCCGTCTGAGCGGTCGGCTGTGAATTACTCGCCCGTCTGAGCGGTCGTGTGAATCTCCCGTCTGAGCGGTGCTGTGAATGCCTCGCCCGTCTGAGCGGTCGGTGTGAATGCCTCGCCCGTCTGATGCGGTCGGCTGTGAATGCCCTCGCCCGTCTGAGCGGTCGGCTGTGAATGCCCCTCGCCCGTCTGAGCGGTCGGCTGTGAATGCCCGCCCTCTGAGGTGGCTGATGCCCGACCGTCGCGTCGGCTGTGAATGCCCTCGCCCCGTCTGAGAGGTCGGCGTGAATGCCCTCGCCCGTCTGAGCGGTCGGCTGTGAATGCCCTCACCCGTCTGAGCGGTCGGCTGTGAATGCCCTCGCCCGTCTGAGCGGTGGCTGTGAATGCCCTCGCCCGTCTGAGCGGTCGGCTGTGAATGCCCTCACCCGCTGAGCGGTCGGCTGTGAATGCCCTCACCCGTCTGAGCGGTCGGTGTGAATGCCCTCACCCGTCTGAGCGGTCGGCTGTGAATGCCCTCGCCCGTCTGAGCGGTCGGCTGTGAATGCCCTCGCCCGTCTGAGCGGTCGGCTGTGAATGCCCTCGCCCGTCTGAGCGGTCGGCTGTGAATGCCCTCGCCCGTCTGAGCGGTCGGCTGTGAATGCCCCGCCCGTCTGAGCGGTCGGCTGTGAATGCCCTCGCCCGTCTGAGCGGTCGGCTGTGAATGCCCTCACCCGTCTGAGCGGTCGGCTGTGAATGCCCTCGCCCGTCTGAGCGGTCGGCTGTGAATGCCCTCCCCGCTGTCTACTTCTAACTGATTGGTTTGGTTCTGTCCTCCTATAGTGCTGTCTGGTTAGAACATGATGTTGAGGCCCATCGCTGTCCTCTTGATAGTCACCACCACACACAGACAGACACAGGCACACACAGACAGACACAGGCAGACACAGGCAGACACAGGCAGACACAGCTGTTTCCATTTGAAGAAGTTGATATGATTGTGGTCATCTGAATGACTTGGAATCTTATTGTTGTGGTTCTATAAGACAAAGATATGAATACATGTAAACAGCATTAGTTAAGGGTTACAACTATACAATATACATATACAGCGCCTTCGGAAAGTTTTCAGACCCCTTGACTTTTTCCACATTTTGTTACGTTACAGCCATATTCTAAAATTGATTAAATAAAACAATTTCCTCAGCAACCGACACACAATACCCCATAATTACAAAGTGAAAACAGGTTTTAGCAAATGTTTGCTAATTTATTAAAAACAAAAAACAGAAATACCTTATTTACATAAGTATTCAGGGATGTAGCTCAGTAGGTAGAGCATGGTGTTTGCAACGCCAGGGTTGTGGGTTCGATTCCCATGGGGGGCCAGTATGAAAAAAAAAATTGATGCACTCACTAAGTCGCTCTGGATAAGAGCGTCTGCTAAATGACTTAAATGTCAAATGTATTCAGACACTTTGCTATGAGACTCGAAATTGAGCTTAAGTGCATCCTGTTTCCATTGATCGTCCTTGAGATGTTTCTACAACTTGATTGGAGTCCACCTGTGGTACATTTTTATTGATTGGACATGATTTGGAAAGGCACACACCTGTCTATATAAGGTCCAACAGTTCCTAGAGCTGGCCGCCCGGCCAGACTGAGCAATCGGGGGAGAAGGGCCTTGGTCAGGGAGGTGACCAAGAACCCGATGGTCACTAACAGCGCTCTAGAGTTCCTCTGTGGAGATGGGAGAACCTTCCAGAAGGACAACCATCTCTGCAGCACTCCACCAATCAGGCCTTTATGGTAGAGTGGCCAGACGGAAGCCACTCCTCAGTAAAAGGCACATGACAGCCCACTTGGAGTTTGCCAAAAGGCACTTAAAGGACTCTCAGACCATGAGAAACAAGATTATCTGGTCTGATGAAACCAAGATTGAACTCTTTGGCCTGAATGCCAAGCGTCACATCTGGAGGAAACCCGGCACCATCCCTACGGTGAAGCATGGTGGTGGCAGCATCATGCTGTGGGGATGTTTTTCAGCGGCAGGGACTGGGAGACTAGTCAGGATCGAGGGAAAGATGAACGGAGCAAAGTACAGAGAGATCCTTGATGAAAACCTGCTCCAGAGCGCTCAGGACCTCAGACTGGGGTGAATGTTCACCTTCCAACAGGACAACCACCGTAAGCACACAGCCAAGACAATGCAGGAGTGGCTTCGGGACAAGTCTCTGAATGTCCTTGAGTGGCCCAGCCAGAGCCCGGACTTGAACCCGATCTAACATCTCTAAAGAGACCTGAAAATAGCTGTGCAGCGACGCTCCCCATCCAACCTGACAGAGCTTGAGAGGATCTGCAGAGAAGAATGGGAGAAACTCCCCAAATACAGGTGTGCCAAGCTTGTAGCGTCATACCCAAGAAGACTCGAGGCTGTAATCGCTGCCAAAGGTGCTTCAACAAAGTACTGAGTAAAGGCTCTGAATACTTATGTAAATGTCATATTTAAGTTTTTGGGGGGGGGATTAATTTGCTAAAATTTCTAAAAAACAGTTTTTGCTTTGTAATTATGGGGTATTGTGTGTAGATTGATGAGGGGAAAAAACAATTTAATCAATTTTAGAATATGGCTGTAACGTAACAAAATGTGGAAAAAGTCAAGGGGTCTGAATACTTTCCGAAGGCTAACAGGGCTATAAACACAGCATCAATATAAACCTAAACTTAAACATTCACCTCTTGGAGAGCGAGAGAGAGAAACAAATTACTTGGATTGACAAAGGGTCAAGATGTATGGCGCCCTCTCTCTCCAGCCTCAGATCTGACCTGGCCCCACAGGGCCATAAATGACTGTGCTGTCTGGGATGACTCTAGAAGCTCGCCCATGGCAGCACAATAAAACATCTTAATAAAGGCCACTATGGGAAACGCTGTGGTAGCGTGTGCATGCAAAATACTATGTTTATCAATACAACAATTAAACCACTTCTGCAAAAGTACTTGTGCAACCAAATGCAATAATAACACTTACGTACGGAATAAAACAACATACAATAAGAAGATCATTTTCGCCCTGTTCGACCAAAGCTAATAATTAGAACAGATGAAAGTTATTCTCCTATTAACCTACTGGTTTCATTGGCTGGCAGAGCTACCAGCAGACTGGGGCGCATTACAACAAGTCATCTAGTTTGTCTCTATTCTTCTGTCACATTCATCTCTAGCAACATCAATAAATTAAACTGGTTGTTCCCATATAGAGTACTGATTTCAAATCACTAGCTTGCCCTGCATGATGGAATGCTAAATTAGGCACAGGACAGTTCTGTGTGTATTCACTTTGCAGCTAGTGGACAATAAGCTTTTTAGGCCTATAGACCACGGTCGCAAGGCATATGAACAGGTTATAGAGCAAACAACGCAATTATCACAACACATAGGATGTAAAATTGCTTTTTTTCTGTCCTGGCTTCCCCAGTGATTTTACCCACGCACCACTACTTATAAATAACCAAATCATGGATGGATCAATAGATAAAAGAAACGCGTGTCTCTCGTCTGCTCCTGCAAGACCGTCGGCATACGCGTCATTACATCTCCCTCGTCTGATTGGTGGTTTCCCATGGCGTCATCACACTTCCTCATCTGATCGGTCGAGTAGGCGGGCCCTCTGACTTCGTGGCTGTGGTAACTAGTGACGACGAAACGACCGCGAGACCCGAAGACGGTAACAGTATGACGATAGGCGGATCCCCGATCACGCGGGTAGGCGACGTTGGCTAGCTAAGCGCACGCGCAGAAGTGCGTCATCGGGTCTAACGGTCGCCTTTCGTTTTTGACGAAAATGAAAACGTGTCAGTTTGTCACTTTCACGAGGTTGTGGTAATAACGTGTTCAAATACTTAAAAACGTTGGCTCGAATCTAGGTTGTGCCTTTAGATTAAAAAAACAAAAACAAAGGAAGAACGTTTCACTTCTCTAACTCCGGCCTGGTCTGCTTCCCAAGCGGTCCCGGAAGTCTTGCGCCTCTGGGTTTAAAAACTCTGTGGCGAGGCCTCGGCACCATTTTGAGAAGCCGCTCTAGTCTGCGAGAGTTGTGGTGGGAATTTTTGTATTTTGTTGCTAGCTAGCTAGTTAGTTAGCAAACTTCGTGTGAACTGTTAACCAGACATAGCTTGCTATTTTTACAAGAGCAATTGGCTAAATAACATTAAAGGGGTTTAACCAACTTTTAAACGACTAAAGTTAGCTAGCAGTCTACGGATGTCAGGAGATAATATGTCGGGCGGCGGGAGCGTGGTTCGTGGCCCAGCGGGAAACAACGACTGTCGGATCTACGTGGGTAACCTGCCACCAGATATCCGCACTAAAGACGTGGAGGATGTGTTTTATAAGTACGGGGCGATCCGAGATATCGATCTGAAGAACCGGAGGGGAGGACCGCCGTTCGCTTTTGTGGAATTCGAGGACCCCAGGTAGCTAACTATGCTAAAAACATAATTACGTTGCTTTCAGAACACAAACAGATAGCTAACATTCGCTACGTAGCTAGCCCCAGAAGGAGTTTGGTAACAACTAGCAACATTTAGCTAGCTCGCTACCTCGTGTTGTGTTTAGAGGCGGAGATATTGGTGTGTTGTTGACAGACAGTTTTACCAGAGTATGTGTATATATATATATATGTGTGTGTGCTCTTTGATTTTACTACCATGGTCCAGTACCAAGTTAATGAGGTGGTCGTCACTAGTTTCCACAGCCACAGTCATAATTATGGCTTAACGAAGAGTTGTGCAAGATGGCGATGGGCCGGACACACTACTTTTTTTTTTAACTCTTCTTTCTTTTAAATTAGTTAATTGCATCTGCCATGGAGTCCAGTTTCATAATATTACAGTTTGTCCCAACTGCGTGCCGTAGTTTAGAAGAGTGCCTGGGCGTCCGTAAATTCAGAGTGTTGTCAGATGGTCCGTTCGTAAAGTAGTCAGTTATTCTGCGCTCTGGCACACTCAGACGAGAGTGCTCTGAAATCGGAGTAGATGGCCAGAGTTAATTTACGAACGCACCCTAAGAAATATCCAAATAAACCTTTTGGGTTTACGGAAAATAACTTGATAAACATAAGGTTACCTATCAAAAGTGAAAACATTCATTTTTCAGAAAAAGGTGTAAAAGGTAACACGTGTCCCTGTCTTCTTCAAGTTGTGGCCAATTTAAACCACTTTTGTGTGTGTGACGAAATAACGTTTTTTGGGACGATTTGTTGTTTTATAAATGGCTGCTGGGTAATTTGATATGCGTTGACATCTGTAACACGAGATCCACATAGCATGTTGGGGAGATTAAACAAAGGATGCCGATTCATTTTCAATGAAGGAAATGAAGTGGGCGGGGACCATTGTGCGAGGGACGTGAACAGGGCGGGACCTAAATTGGGGAAAGCAAATACTCGGAGACATCGCATTGTTATTTACCAATCAAAGCTCACTACAGTTTACATCCCCTACTGGATTGGCTGTTGATACCTATCACTACCTAGCCTGCTTGCTTGCGCCAACAGTAGGGCGAAGCAAGAATGGCTATCTGAATTTACGTGTTAAAAGGGTCTCGTAGTTTGTTAGTAGGCATCGAATTGAGCGAGTGCTACGCAGGTTCACTGGGGGCGTTTTCACACACAGTTCTGAGTTGTAGACAAATCAGTTAGACTATTTGTTACGTTGTATTTTATTAATTTGGTCCGGTTGGTTTCACGTTGCCAAATGAACAGCAATTCCTAAACAAAACCATGTATCCATGCAAGTCATTTGTTTATTGGACAAAAATGCTCACGTTAAATCCCTTTTATGATTATTATGAAGCATCACTGTGCGTCCCAATCTTCATATTACTTTGGTCTTCCAACAACGTGCTGGAGGAAGCCGCTCTAACTGCGACGTGGATAGTCAATGTTCAGGAGCCTACAGCCCCATCTCCCCTAATCTGCATGGGATGCACTCAGAAATGCGCTGCTACTCACAGAATGTTTCAGAGATCTCAAATTATGATGCTACATGCGTTTCATCAAATGAGGTCAACCGACCAATTATTTTCCTGTGTTTTGGTCCGGACTGCGTTCTCACTGGCAGCGAACAGCACCACTGAACGAATTGAATCAGACCAAGACCACCCTTTTTGAGCGAGCTACGGTGCGTCGTTTAGTGTGCTCCGGAGTGCAGGTAGAATGTTCACACCAGTCCAAACAAACCAAACTAAGGGGGTAAACGCACCAGATTTTTTTTTTTTTTGGGGGGGGGGGGGGGGACGCTCCAAACCAGTTTGGTGTGAAAACGTGAGTTGCAAACCACATGAATGGGTCTAGCTCATTTATTAGCAGCTAATGGTTTAATGGTGATTTGTAGGTGCGTTTACCCCCTTAGTTGCCTAGTTAAATAAAGGTAAAATAAAAGTAGTTGCTACCCCAGATTGAGCCCAGCGAATGTAGCAAGAGGTATGTAGTATCTGCAGATGGCCACAGGGAGGAGCAAGAGCGCTATAAACCCATACTGTTTTTGACCCCACAAAAACAAACCCTAGGTTTATCCCTTAAAGTTAGTTATAACCTATTTTAGCCTTAACCCTGAACAGACAGTAACCCTAGCCATAACCCTAATTCTATGGTAGGATAGCCTACAACACTTTTAGAAACACTCATGTTCCAGTCATTGGCAGCAGAGAACTGGAAGGAATGGCGGCCAAAGGAGGTGTTGGCTTTGGGGATGACCAGTGAGATATACCTGCTGGAGCACAGACTACGTGTGGGTGCTGCTATGGTGACCAGTGAGCTAAGATAAGGCGGGGATTTGCCTAGCAGTGATTTATAGATGGCCTGGAGCCAGTGGGTTTGACGACGAACTTGTAGTGAGGACCAGCCAACAAGAACGTACAGGTCACAGTGGTGGGTAGTATATGGGGCTTTGGTGACAAAACTGATGGCACTGTGATAGACTACATCCAATTTGCTGAGTAGAGTGTTGGAGGCTATTTTGTAAATGACATCGCCAAAGTCAAGGATCGGTAGGATAGTCAGTTTTACGAGGGCATGTTTGGCAGCATGAGTGAAGGAGGCTTTGTTGCAAAATAGGAAGTAGATTCTAGATTTAACTTTGGATTGGAGATGCTTAATGTGAGTCTGGAAGGAGAGTTTACGGTCTAACCAGACACCTAGGTATTTGTAGTTGTCCACATACTCTAGGTCAGACCCGCCGAGAGTAGTGATTCTAGTCGGGTGGGCGGGTGCCAGCAGCGTTCGATTGAAGAGCATGTATTTAGTTTTACTAGTGTTTAAGAGCAGTTGGAGGCTACTGAAGGAGTGTTGTATGGAATTGAAGCTCGTTTGGAGGTTTGTTAACACAGTGTCCAATGAAGGGCCAGATGTATACAAAATGGTGTCGTCTGCGTAGAGGTGGATCTGAGAGTCACCAGCAGCAAGAGCGACATCATTGATATACACAGAGAATAGAGTCGGCCCGAGAATTGAACCCTGTGGCACCCCCATAAGAGACTGCTTTGTGACATCTGCTGACATAAAGGGCTTTATAAATACATTTGATTGATATTGAACAACTCGGTGAAAACAACATTCCACAGGTAGGCTGTGGAGGCAGAGTGAAGTAGCTAGCTAATTAACTATTGGCCCTCTCAAATCTAACTGTCTGTGTTGTCATGTCTGTCTATCTCTGCCTGTCTGTCTCTCTGTCACTCTCTCGGTGTGTGTGTCCCAGGGATGCTGATGATGCGGTGCACGGTCGTGATGGTTATGACTACGATGGTTACCGTCTCCGGGTGGAGTTCCCCCGTAGTGGGCGTGGGGGAGGGAGAGGGGGGGGTGGCGGCGGCGGCAGGGGGGGTGGCGATGGAGGAGGAGCCCCAAGAGGACGATATGGCCCTCCCTCGCGGCGCTCAGAGTACAGAGTCATCGTCTCAGGTCAGTCTTTACTGTCACCCCTCCTCCCCCTGTCTTTACTGTGTTACCCCTCTCCTCCTCTTCCTCCCTCTCCAGGTCTCCCCCTGTCTTTACTGTGTTACTCCTCCTCCTCCTCTTCCTCCCTCTCCAGGTCTCCTCCTGTCTTTACTGTGTTACCCCCTCTCCTCCTCTTTCTCCCTCTCCAGGTCTCCTCCTGTCTTTACTGTGTTACCCCCTCGCCTCCTCTTCCTCCCTCTCCAGGTCTCCTCCTGTCTTTACTGTGTTAACCCCTCCTCCTCCTCTTCCTCCCTCTCCAGGTCTCCTCCTGTCTTTACTGTTTACCCCTCTCCTCCTCTTCCCCCTCTCCAGGTCTCCTCCTGTCTTTACTGTGTTACCCTCCTCCTCCTCTTCCTCCCTCTCCAGGTCTCCTCCTTTCTTTACTGTGTTACCACCTCCTCCTCCTCTTCCTCCCTCTCCAGGTCTCCTCCTGTCTTTACTGTGTTACCCCTCCTCCTCCTCTCCTCCCTCTCCAGGTCTCCTCCTGTCTTTACTGTGTTACCCCTCTCCTCCTCTTCCTCCCTCTCCAGGTCTCCTCCTGTCTTTACTGTGTTACCCCTCTCCTCCTCTTCCTCCCTCTCCAGGTCTCCTCTTCTCTTTACTGTGTTACCCCTCCTCCTCCTCTTCCTCCCTCTCCAGGTCTCCTCCTGTCTTTACTGTGTTACCCCCTCCTCCTCCTCTTCCTCCCTCTCCAGGTCTCCTCCTGTCTTTACTGTGTTACCCCTCCTCCTCCTCTTCCTTCCTCCCTCTCCAGGTCTCCTCCTGTCTTCTTTACTGTGTTACCCCTCCTCCTCCTCTTCCTCCCTCTCCAGGTCTCCTCCTGTCTTTACTGTGTTACACCCTCCTCCTCCTCTTCCTCCCTCTCCAGGTCTCCTCCTGTCTTTACTGTGTTACCCCCTCCTCCTCCTCTTCCTCCCTCTCCAGGTCTCCTCCTGTCTTTACTGTGTTACCCCTCCTCCTCCTCTTCCTCCCTCTCCAGGTCTCCTCCTGTCTTTACTGTGTTACCCCCTCCTCCTCCTCTTCCTCCCTCTCCAGGTCTCCTCCTGTCTTTACTGTGTTACCCCTCCTCCTCCTCTTCCTCCCTCTCCAGGTCTCCTCCTGTCTTTACTGTGTTACCCATCCTCCTCCTCGTTCCCCCCCCCCCCATCCCGTCTGTCCAGAGGTCCTCTCCTGTGCTTTAACTGTGGTTACCCCTCTCCCTCCTCTCTCTTCCTCCCTCTCCAGGGTCTCCCTCCTGTCTTTACTGTGTTCACCCCTCCCTCCTCCTCTTCCCTCCCATCTCCAGGTCTCCATCCTGGTCTTGTACTGTGTTACTCCTCCTCCCTCCTCTTCCTCCCGTCTCCAGGGTCTCCTCCTGTCTTTACTTACTTGTGTTACTCCTCCTCCTTCCTCTTCCTCCCTCTCCAGGTCTCCTCCTGTCTTTTACTTGTTTGTGGGGTTACCCCTCCTCCTCCTCTTCCTCCCATCTCCAAGGTCTCCTCCTGTCCTTTACTGTTGGTACCCCTCATCCCCTCTTCCTCCCTCTCCAGGTCTCCTCCTGTCTTTACTGTGTTACCCCTCCTCCATCCTCCTCTTCCTCCCTCTCCAGGTCTCCTCCTGTCTTTGACGTGTTGTGTTAACCCTCCCCGCCTCCTCCCTTCCCTCCCCTCTCCAGGTCTCCTCCTGGTCTTTACTGTGTTACTCCTCCTCCTCCCTCTTTCCTCCCTCTCCAGGTCTCCTCCTGTCTTTACTGTGTTACCCCTCCTCCTCCTCTTCCTCCCTCTCCAGGTCTCCTCCTGTCTTTACTGTGTTACTCCTCCTCCTCCTCTTCCTCCCTCTCCAGGTCTCCTCTTCTCTTTACTGTGTTACCCCTCTCCTCCTCTTCCTCCCTCTCCAGGTCTCCCCTCTAGTGGTAGCTGGCAGGACCTAAAGGACCACATGCGCGAGGCAGGCGACGTGTGTTATGCTGACGTGTTCCGGGACGGTACTGGCGTGGTGGAGTTCGTACGCAAGGAGGACATGACCTATGCTGTCCGCAAGCTGGACAACACCAAGTTCCGCTCCCACGAGGTACGTCAGAGGTTGATTTGGAATCCAGGGGGAAACACTGTTGGTTAGAGTCCATCCCCAATGAGTCTCACCAGGCAGCTTTCTCCTCTCCTCTGTGGTTTCTATGTGTGTGTTTAGGGAGAGACTGCTTACGTGCGCGTGAAGGTGGACGGACCTCGCAGCCCCAGTTACGGACGCTCCCGCTCTCGTAGCCGTAGCAACGGGCGTAGCAACAGCCGCTCACGCAGCTTCTCACCGCCGCGACGCAGCCGGCCCTCTCCACGCTACTCGCCACGACACTCCCGATCACGCTCCCGCACCTAGACACACACGGCCCCCAGGGAGAGAGATGTGACATCATCCGACCAGGAGAGGGACAGGCGCCCCCCCCGGTGGACCTGCTAATGTTCTCTTGGCTCGTCTACCTCATGTTCTTTCATCCCCCTGTTTCTGGTCTAGTTGCCCTCAGCTGTGGTTTGGCTTATGACCTCTGTTCTCTTTGTATCTGCTGGCCCCTCCCTCTACTATCCCCCCCCCCTCTCTCTCTCCTCCTCTCCTCCCTGTCCTGTCTATCTCCCCCCCTCTCTCCTCCCTCCCTTCCTCTCTCTCTCTCTCCCCCTTGTCCTCTCTCTCTCTCTCCTCCCGTCCTGTCTATGCTCTCCCCTCTCTCTCCTCCCTGTCCTGTCTATCTCCCCCCTCTCTCTCTCTCTCCTCTCTGTCCTGTCTATCTCCCCCCTCTCTCTCCTCTCCTCTCTGTCCTCTCCTCTCTCTCCTCGCCTGTCCTGTCTATCTCTCCCCTCTCTCTCCTCCCTGTCCTGTCTATCTCCCCCCTGCCCTGTCTATCTCCCCCCTCTCTCTCTCTCCTCTCTGTCCTCTCTCTCTCCTCCCTGTCCTCTCTCTCTCCTCCCTGTCCTGTCTCTCTCTTTCCTCCCTGTCCTGTCTATCTCCCCCCCCCCCCCCCCCCACTCTCTCTCCTCCCTGTCCTGTATCTTTCCCCCCCCCCCTCCTCTCCTCTCTCTCTCCTTCTCTTTGTCCCTGTCTCTCGCCACCTCCATTCTGTGTAAAGGGCTTTAATGATGTTTCTGTTAGTTTTGACTGGCTGGCGGGAGGAGGTGTGGGGAGGGATGGATGGTTTTATTATTTTCCTTGGCCTGTTGTGACGTGTTGTTATGCTGACCTCTGACCTGTCTGTCATGTGTCTCTCTGTAGAGATCACAGGAGCAAGCTGATAGGCTGCTGGGAAACAGGAAACAGGAAACAGTTCATATTAGGATTAACAGGAGGAGCAGGAGGAGTCAAATAACCAGCCAATGGTATGACTGCAGTAGTCTCTCATCCAATCAGCTCTCAGACCTGATGTTTTAGTTTTTCTGACCCAGTAATATTATTGAACTGGTTTTAACTTTCTACTGTACAGACATGCTTTGTCACCTCCCACTCACCCCTCCCCCTCTCCTTCCCTCCCTGCCAGCCTCCCCTGGTTTTCTATACACCGTTTCTGGTTAGAGAGTAACATGCAGGACCGTGTCTCTGGGACCGTGTCTCTGTCGGGGCAGGGTCAATAGGACCGTGTCTCTGGGACCGTGTCTCTGTCGGGGCAGGGTCAATAGGACAGTGTCTCTGGGACAGGGTCAATAGGACAGTGTCTCTGTCGGGGGCAGGGTCAATAGGACAGTGTCTCTGGGACAGTGTCTCTGTCGGGGGCAGGGTCAATAGGACACTATAATATAATAATAATAATATGCCATTTAGCAGACGCTTTTATCCAAAGCGACTTACAGTCATGCGTGCATACATTTTTTTTTTTTGTGTGTATGGGTGGTCCCGGGGATCGAACCCACTACCATGGCGTTACAAGCGCCGTGCTCTACCAGCTGAGCTACAGAGGACCACTCTCTGTCGGGGGCAGGGTCAATAGGACACTGTCTCTGTCGGGGGCAGGGTCAATAGGACACTCTCTGTCGGGGGCAGGGTCAATAGGACACTCTCTGTCGGGGGCAGGGTCAATAGGACACTGTCTCTGTCGGGGGCAGGGTCAATAGGACACTGTCTCTGTCGAGGCAGTGTCAATGGTTGGTTCTATTTTCTCAGTAGTCTTGGTTCAGAGAACTTTAGTTCTAATGTTTAGGTGAGTTTTCTGCTGTACATTTCTTCTCTTAAAAAACACACCGCTTTCATAGCCAGCAGGTTGTGATAGTGTTGTGATGGCTGATTGGCCGTAGCAGGCTGTAATAATGTGGCTGATTGGCTGTAGCGAGGCTGGGCGGTCTTCCATATGTTACTATGTACCGGTATTGAAACACGGACCGGTTTGGGTTTTTACTGTACCTTCTGTAACGGTATTTGAATGTTTGGTTTGTTAAATGTGATACACCGTGTGTAACGTCCATTTCTATAGTCTCTCCATGCCGCTTTCCACAGACATAGCCCCGCCCCGCCCCCTGTCACTCAAAGAGCGCATTTGTTGTTGCTTGACCAGAGACACTTGTGTCCAGTCTGCTTGGTCCAATGCAGAACATGTGACAATGTTGGTGACAACGAAGCTGTTTCCACTTTGCGTCTTAATATAAATCCACTAGCGTTCTATAATTACACTATTAGTTTGTTTCTTACATCTGCAAACAGCAAATTTGTATTTTCATAGCAAGTTGGGCCTAAATCTTGTTAGTCGCTAATGCTAACTGCTAGCTTGCTAATAAATGTACTGAGTCAGAGAACGTAATTAGCTATACAGCCTGGTAATACCAGTGACGGGGTAGAACTAAATCAGCATGTTTGTACAGCAGTATCTTCTAAATCAGAGGAATATGCGTAACATTAATGTTAGCTACATGAAATAGCTAAGAGAGAACATTCAATGTAGCCAAAGATTAGAGTCCCCTAGGAAACACTTGTCAACACTTTGGTTCCCACCCTGTGACAATAACTCCTCCTGGCGTTTTCATTCGTTGTCATGTCAACACTGTATTCAAAGTGCCCACTATTATATTCAAACTATAGATTTAGAATAATCATTATATTTTCCCTTTATTCCAACAGTTCACCCAAGTGTTTTGCTCTGAATCTCAAGTCAAATCTCCAATTGCTACATTTGGTTAAAAATAAGGCCTGGTTTGTTCGTCCATATTGTACAGCCGGTGCTACGTGGCAGTGTGGAAATGATTGCAGGAAATTCAGAAATTTATGAAAATACATTTGGTTGAATTGAACAATATAAAACGATCAGAATGGAGAAAGACCCATTTTTATTTTATTTTTACTCACTTAGAATGTATGTGTTGCCACCCTGGGATCAAGCTCTACTCATAAAGCACATTTAGAACTCTTTTTATTGAATTTTTTATACCGTGATATGATATTTTGGCCATATCGCTCAGCCCGAACTGTAGCAGGCTGCGATAGTTTGGCTGTAGCAGGCTGTGAGTGATTCTAACCTGTTGCTCCTTCCCTCTCTCTGTTGGGTGTGGGATCTGTCTCAAGGAGGGCTGTGATTGGAGGAGGGCTCTCTGTCTCCCCGTCCCGGAGCCAATCAGACCATCAGGATTCAGGATCAGAGCAGGGATTAGGATTAAGGATGGAGAGAGAGAACAAACACGGAGTGGGACATAGGATCAGGACCAGCCCACAGCCCAGCCCACTGGAAACCTAGAAACTAGACCCAATTCACTCACATGGCTCTCAAACGCACTAAATTACAGTTTTAGTATTTTTTTTCCCCCCGCGTGGACCCCCCAGCGCCCTGCTGGGATCCTGACAAGCGTTCTTTTGTATTTTATTGTTTGAGGAGCTCAGCGCAAAACCAGGAGACTGGCTCAGGATGGAGGGAGGCGCACATAAGGAGAGCGGTAACTAGAAGGGAATTATAATCTGGGATGGATGGAGGGATGGATGGAGGGTAATGTGTTTGTTCATTAAAGGTTTGGAGGGAGGGTATAGTGTTTTTTTGGGGGGTTGTGTTGTTTCCTTAGTAGGTTTTATGAGTTTCTTTCCTTAACTCCTCTTCAATAAAGTGTCTTCTACAGTAGATGATCTGTGTTCCTCTGATTCTGCTGCAGTCTGTGTTTCTCTGTCTCTGATGTATCAAATCTGATCCTATCATAATGCTACGTATATAACCAAGTCCTAATGGTACGTACATAACCAAGTCCTAATGCTACGTATATAACCAAGTCCTAATGCTACGTACATAACCAAGTCCTAATGCTACGTATATAACCAAGTCCTAATGCTACGTATATAACCAAGTCCTAATGCTACGTACATAACCAAGTCCTAATGCTACGTATATAACCAAGTCCTAATGCTACGTATATAACCAAGTCCTAATGCTACGTATATAACCAAGTCCTAATGCTACGTACATAACCAAGTCCTAATGCTACGTACATAACCAAGTCCTAATGCTACGTACATAACCAAGTCCTAATGCTACGTACATAACCAAGTCCTAATGCTACGTATATAACCAAGTCCTAATGCTACGTATATATAACCAAGTCCTAATGCTACGTATATATAACCAAGTCCTAATGCTACGTGTACATAACCAAGTCCTAATGCTACGTGTACATAACCAAGTCCTAATGCTACGTGTACATAACCAAGTCCTAATGCTACGTATATATAACCAAGTCCTAATGCTACGTACATAACCAAGTCCTAATGCTACGTATATAACCAAGTCCTAATGCTACGTGTATATAACCAAGTCCTAATGCTACGTACATAACCAAGTCCTAATGCTACGTGTATATAACCAAGTCCTAATGCTACGTGTATAACCAAGTCCTAATGCTACGTATATATAACCAAGTCCTAATGCTACGTGTATATATAACCAAGTCCTAATGCTACGTATATATAACCAAGTCCTAATGCTACGTGTACATAACCAAGTCCTAATGCTACGTATATATAACCAAGTCCTAATGCTACGTACATAACCAAGTCCTAATGCTACGTATATAACCAAGTCCTAATGCTACGTATATATAACCAAGTCCTAATGCTACGTGTATATAACCAAGTCCTAATGCTACGTACATAACCAAGTCCTAATGCTACGTGTATATAACCAAGTCCTAATGCTACGTGTATAACCAAGTCCTAATGCTACGTATATATAACCAAGTCCTAATGCTACGTACATAACCAAGTCCTAATGCTACGTATATAACCAAGTCCTAATGCTACGTATATAACCAAGTCCTAATGCTACGTGTATAACCAAGTCCTAATGCTACGTATATAACCAAGTCCTAATGCTACGTACATAACCAAGTCCTAATGCTACGTGTATATAACCAAGTCCTAATGCTACGTGTATATAACCAAGTCCTAATGCTACGTGTATATAACCAAGTCCTAATGCTACGTG